GTGTGTGCGCGCTTACGATAATTTTAAAACGGAAAAAAATAGAGCAGTCTGTCGAAGTAATCTTCTGAATTTTTTATTTCGTATTTTTTTAATGGTGTTCAGAGAATCGTGGCGGTCAGAATTGTAGTTTTGTTGTACTCTTCAATTGTAGATTATTTTTACGAGCGTAAAAGTTGTGTAAAACACGTGGGTGTGTGAGCTGAGCAGACCCACCTTGCAAGTTCTCAAAGTTCATGAATCTCGGCACCCTGGTGTGGCAGAATGGATTACGCTTGTTTTCTTTCTGACATTAAAATAAAATCAGGAGTAATAACATCTCCGAGGTGGCATTTCTTGAGTCCGTCAAATTCATGAACAGGCCAATTTGTGAAATACGTCACGCTAATCCACTGCTATTTGAGTGGATGAATAAATAAACGTGAGAAAACGGTGAAGGTCGAGTGTGCTTTGAGTGGGCATTTGTTGAAATCTCTGAAATTAAGTTACGATACATTTTGAAACAACACAACTACATAAATGGAAAGCTCTATAAGAAGCAAATGTCTCATAATGTCAATTCTTTATTATGACTTCTGGTTTTACTCATTTATCACATACAACAGGCTCCTTGTACGATAGACATATAATTGTTGGAGGGACATTCCTGCAAAACACAGTGCAATATTTATACAGGCATACCTCTTATAGCGTTCAGGATGCATTCTTGGTAAGCGGAGCGCGATACGAAACGGCACTATAGGAGGTCACTATAACATGGTTCCAATGGAGATGCGTTCCCGGAATGCTTTTTTTTTAACCTGTGAGCGTTATATGAGGGCTTCATTAGGGTATCGGTAATTGCCTTTATAATGATACTGTACACATGATAAATGTAAGCATTTTATCAATAAAAATAATAACTTTTTGTTACAATAACATAAAAAAAATGCAATTAGTTGTGGACTCACCAGTGCGTTCGGTCGGAGTTTGCTTCAGATTAACCACCGTCTGCCGTAAACATTTGGATTATCTGATCCACGGATTGCCAATGAGTCGATACTCAAATGTGGCTGTCGTGCTGACTATGAGCAGAATCGATACAATAGACACCTCAATTCACGATCCACAAGACTTAATATGGGCAAAGACACGCCCCTACGGGCACCGCCTGCATTCTTCCATATGTGGGCTGATCCTCACACGAGTTTTTATCCAGGACAAAGAGCGCTATAACGAAACTGGCGCAATAGGAGGCAGCGCCGTGAGAGGTATCTCGGGTGATCAATGAAGGCGGCCCACTATCAAAATGAACAAGAGGAGGATGGAAAATTGAAAACTTGGAAAATTACACTTGTTAATTGAGAGCAACATGCGACTTTGTCTCAATAGGAAATATTGCACCGCCTTCATAATTGCTTATCACATTTCGCTCCGTCTGCACGGTGAGATTGGCTCATATAGGAGCAGGGTGGATTGACATTGCAATTGCATGAGTTATTGCGACATTGTGGGGAGGCCCTCGTCTAGCAGTGGATAAATCGTGGCTCTTGATGATACTGGATAATGAGCTCTGTCATGAGTTCAGGCCTGCGTTCTTTCTTCCAGCAACTTGAAGATATTATTTGTATTCATTTCGAAATAGAGTTACCAATTGTCAGGGGTCTGCAGTGCCACAAGTGACAATAAACACGTTTTTGGAGCATTAAAAGTTGCAAGCTAACCTAACACCTTACACCACTGAACCCATGGTGTCATGCACGACGCACGGCTGTAAATTAGATAATAACACTTTCATCTCCCCGTGGCGTTGCGCATCTGTAAGCGGGGAGACTTTTATAAGACATAAGAGTAAAAAAAAAGTTAATGTTTGTCTTAACTCGAGAGACCGCACATTCTGCAGACGTCATCGACTGCTCCCATATGAATGGAGGCTTGCGATGAGCTATGTGTAGCCGGTGTGAGCGTGCACTTCTTAAACCCAGAGGAGTATTATTTCTGACAGTTTTTTTTCTTTCTACATTTTAATCCCCTCTATGGGACCGTGGTGAGGGGCCGGTGGAGCGGACCACCCAGGGGCCAGGTTAAACACTGCTGTGGCTGTGGCGGCGGCGGCAGTGGCAGCAGCAGCAGCAGCGGGACGTGGTGGTGGTGGCCCCCGGGCAGCCATCTGCTCGTTGCGTCATGGACTAGGCTGTTGTTGTGACATCTTTCGTCTGATAGAATTGCGTTATTCGCCCCAAATGCTCCCCCCCCCCCCCCTGACCGCTAGGGCTTGGTTATCGATGAAGGTCATTGTCAACACTTTTGTTTGTCACGTTCTAGTATTAAAGGGTATTTCCAGAGTTTTTTGGGTGGGGGGGGGGGTTCCCCACAATGCAACAGCGCATTTTTTAAAACAAAAATTCAAACAACGATGGCACGCTCGGGCGAGCAGGCTGGCATTCTTTTCACGGCCATCGACCGGTTTAAAGTGGGTCATTGGTGCGCGATTCTTTTTTTTTTTGGTTCCCGTGAGCGACGCTTTTTGCCGTCTTCCGTGCGCTTTCCTAGCGCTGAGCACGCACGGTTCAGCTGCCGCGCGTTGGACGTGGACAGTGGGCAAGTCCAGCTCGCACAATGCGGTCGGCTTCAGCTGTCTAAAAATATCGCCATTGTCAAATATTCAGCAGCCCTGAACCGGGATGGCAGCTTGTGTGCGCACGTCAGTTTATTCACACAAATCCATCGTAAAGGTTGAGCCAAAGCCTCAGATTACGAAGCAGCTTTATTATTGCTCTTGCCCAGGTTTACGTGCGCGCACGCTCCTGTAGACCGACAGTGGTGGCAGTGTGGTGGAACGATCGCTCGCCTAAAGCACCATTCCATTACCCGAGCCCCCCCCCCCCCCTTTTTTAGTGGTACGCAGATTATCCGCTGGGGGGGGTAGGCGGGAAGGGAGCGTAGGCGGCAGGACAGTGGGGGCGGTGGGGGACATTGATCTCATCCCCATTTTTTTTTGCGCGCGCCAACGGCGTGACGGGATTAGTCCTCCGCCACGGCCCCCGTGTAGTCCATGCGAATCCCGGGCAGCAAAGGTGACTCTTCTCCCCCCCCCGAAAAAGCCGGCTGGAACGCCGGGCGAACAATGCGCGCCAAAGCCGTTAAGTGGCACAGCGGCTGCTGTAGAGGCGTGGGGGAGGCGGTGGGTGGTGGTGGTGGTGGGGGGGGGGTGGCTCGCGGGAGCAGAGGTTGTCGCCCTCTGCACTTTTTTAGAGGCCGTGCGTGGTATTAGGTGCCCCCACCCTGCCCGGAGTACTGGTAATGGCGCGATGCCAGTGAGAGAGAGAGACCTTCACCTCGGGGGCTAATGCCAGCATCGTGCTAATGGGTGTGCGTTACACCAATCGGGTTCGCGCGCCTCTCCGGGTACAAAAAAAAAACCTTGAACGTATCGTACGAAGGAGGACATCCCGACAATGCACGGGAGAGCTGCGTTGTAGAAATGCATTGTCTCGAGTTGCACGTCATATTGTGCGCAACGACTCATTTTTTTCCAGGACCGCTCTCCCCGCCTCCCCCACTCAAAGTGAAGACTTTTTTTTATTTAAAGAAAACCAGGGCAGGTAGCAACTCTGTAAGCTAGCAGCGATGCTTCCTTAAACCTCGCGCACACTTCACCTGGAGTTTCTCTGGCACACCTCTCCAAAGGAATGCGTCATTGTTGTCTGCGTGTCTTGATCATTATTTATTTTACAATCCATATGTTGTGTATGCCCGTCACCGCGTTGAGATCGGTAGCTTGTGGAGTGTACGTTGGGAGCTACTGTGCCGTGCTGTCAGCAGCGAGCCTCGGTATAAGTCTTACTAAGCCTAAACTGCTGCAGTGAATGTAGCTTTGTTTATTATCGTATTCTCAGGATTTTAAGACGTGCTTCCCCCCCCCCCCTGTATTTTTTAATAAAAAGTTGGGGGGTGCGTCTTATAATCCAGTGAGGTGCTCTGATTGTTACCATTTTTTTAATAACTGTATTGACACAGAGCACGCGTTTAGGGGGAATCTAACTTTCTTGAGCGTCTCATAACCTGAAGAATGCGGTGACAATATCCATATTACGATGCAGATCTCTCGAGACAGAATGCGGTCCACATGATGCAAATGTTTTGCATTGTAGGCCTGTAACAATTGCTCTCCCCCCCTCCCCCCGCACAGTTCTATGAATCGTCACGATTCAGAGTCATGATAAGATTGTTTTCAAAAAGAGTCGATTTTTTGTAACACTGTGGTGCAATGCATTGCCTCTTGTGGCTGTGGAGGGCACGTGATCTGATTACTAGGGGTGTAATGATTTACTATCTTTGCCGTTCATAAATTGCTTAAGGAATTTTTTTTCAAATATTGTTGTGTGTTGGTAGTACCTTTGGTGGCTACCTGGGTCTCATTAACTAATTCTACAACCACGTTTAAAATTTCAAAATAAATACGCATAGATTTACACGTGCACGCAAACTATTCAATGCCTGGTGCTCAGGCGTAAGATTCAGTTTTGTTTAATGAATCCATGCGTTGGTGCATATCAGACCCTCTACTGCATTGCATATGCTGCACTGCCGAGTTGTGGTGACTATTTTTTAAGTTTCATTCAGAATATCGACTCTCCTGTCCGTTTTAGAATAGAACTTGTGGTCCCAAAGTTGTGTGTGCCATGGGATTCTGCATTCCACGAAAACCGCAGGATTCATTGAGATCCAAAATGAGATTTGCGCCGGTTGAATTTTAGTCGGAGTGTGGGTGGAGATGTGGGCGTGTGACGAGAAATTCTAATTGTGCAATTAGAACAATTTTCTGTCTCTACAGTTTATTGAACGGCCTCCAAATTCAGCTTAAAGAATATTAATTACCAAAACCCCCATAAACATGTTGCCTGTAACATTCATGAAGTATATTAATTTGCCGATGCCGTTGGTAATGGTGACATCCGACCGGCCACAATTGCAGTTGCTCATCTGTGCCCAACTCTTTAAAACATGCGCGTGCGTAACAGGGTACGTCCAGAGCCTCATCCGCCGCGTGGTGAACAACGTGAACATCCTGGTGAGCAACCTCATCCTCAAGTACGTGGAGGACGACATCGTGCTGTCGGTGAACGTGAAGTCGGCCGAGTGCTACTCCGTGGACGAGTTCTGGGAGCGGGCGTTCGTGGACATCGCCGGTGCGTGCTCTTTGGGTCTGGCCGCTTCGCGTTTGCCCGCGGCCTCGCGCGCAGCACGCGCGCACGCCGAGTTACGCGCGTGCATGTGCGCCGCCATTGGTCTTGCGAGACGACAGAGATCAGTGTCAGAATCGGAATCGTTATTTCGCACCTCCCGATTGGCGCCGTTGGCTCCGTGCGGCGCGAAAGAAGCTCAGCGTACATACGGACATTCTCACTGGAGGAACACGATGAGCGAATAAACGCTTTTTCACAGATGTCCAGTAGGCGCGGGTCAGAAAGTCACAACAACAATAAACAATACAGAAATACGGTAGAAGTGCAAAAGTATACGAAAAGGTAAGCAATTGAATGAAAGAAATGTAACTAAAATTTAACTTTAAATTTTACCAGGTGAAGCCCACTGAGCTATTAGCTTATTTTTCAGACGTGGCCTGGCAAACAAATGATAACGAACAAAATTGACTTATCACGTGGAAATGTAGCGCAAACAAATACTCTAAACACGTGTTTCTAAATGTGGAGGGGAAAAACCGGAGGACCCGGAAAACTCCAAATATACGTGCGTCAGGGTCAGGATCGAACCCACGGGCTCCTCCATACCAGGCGAGGGAATCAACATCTCGCCACGGCGGCACCTCATTCTCTTTTCGGCTGCCCCTATAGTCTGGCACTGCCCTTTCCCCCCCAGCCGTCCCTGCTGTCAACTCCGTGGCCCCTGTTCAAGTCCAAAGCACAAGACCTCCCTCTTCTCCTCTTCCTATTATGACTGACTGACTCTCTCTTGCTGTTTGACCTTACTTCACCACGCTGGTCGGTGCGGGTTGGCAACGGCGGGCTGGGGGAGGCCCAAAGAGCACCCCGGATATCACTCGGCACTTGCGTTCGTCATGGACGGCAGTCGAAGTCGGGCAGCTAAGTTCACGGCGCAATGTTGTGGATTTACTCTCCAACACACTGGTGGGCTGAAAGTCGTAACTAATTGGTGCGTTTACACCATTGGAACCTCCTTTGCCAGTAGCAAATTATGATAATTGTTTTTTTACCCTTTTATCTGGTAACAAAACTGACACCTTTTTTACAAAGAGTCATGTTTGCATTGACCACAATACCTGCGGTCGGAATGCAAATAAAAAACATAAGTCTGATAATGTAACTCTGATCATGTACGCCTTTTGGCGTCATCTGGTCCAACACCATGTGAGACTAGGCTCTAAGGAAAGCTGTCTCGGGTGTGGACCAATCAATTTCAAGGACAGTGCATACATTATCAGAGTTACGTGTTTTTTTTATTTGCATTCCGACCACAGGTATTGCGGTCAATCCAAACATGACTCCTTGTAAAAAAGGTGTCAGTCTTGTTACCAGGTAAAACCAGTTATAATTGGTGCGTTGTTTACGTGCCGAACCTTACTGTCTGCGTCGGGTGGTGGAGGGGTGCGACGCATTTATACTTACGCGATATAACCCAAAAACCTTTACTACGAATAATATTGGTCGCGAAAGCCTACGCGTTAAACAGCGCAGTGCAGTGCTAACCTCTGTGCAATGAATCCTCACCGAACAGCTGGATTTGGCCAACAGCGCTGCGCCAATCGACGGCCGGCAACCTCGCGCTGACACATTTGGGCGAACGCTAAACGAATTGACCCATGGGGGTCGGGGCCCAATGTATTGAACAGAAGTGGAAACACCTCTGCTGGTGAAGAGGTCCCCTTTACCCTCTGTTCTCCTACTGCTTGAAACACTATCACTCTGAGACTCCTCCGAGACCGCTGAGCAGCGGATGACCTCTGTGGCACTGTGGGAAGTTGGCAGATTTCTGCCCTGGGTGTCCATAAACATTTTAAAAGTATTTATTTATTTACTTGTTTCTGACTGCTGCCTTGACAGAATTCCAAAAGAGGGGCCCGTTGGCTAATTGGTGTTTTTCTTTCTCGGTGTCATTGCAACTTGCAATGCGTTTTCTGGCAAACAAGGAAGGCAAATTAAATCAAGAGCCTTGACTTGGGAGAATTTAAATAGCTGCGCCGGCGTCGCTGGCTCATTTACTGACAAGTTCCACCTGCTGTCTGTCCACCCTTGCCAATGCCTGCACCACCAAGGAACAAGTTCAGCGCCTGCTAAGTCACTTCTCTGGGAATAGTGAATGCGGTGGAAGCTGACAAATAGAAAAGGGGTAGATATTTTCAACCAGCCATTTGTGTCGTGCGGCGGACAGAGCATTGGTTCGAGTATCACGATTGCGATCGTACTTTTGCGAGTTTAAATCCCGCTTATCGATCGATATTCCCCCGTCTAAGGGGCGCGGAATTTCCACGGCCTGAGGACCGCAAATGCAATTTGAGCCCCGCACTCGGATAGTTTTGAGCAGGAAACGAGCTTGTTGTTTTTTTTTTAAACCATGGGAACTGAAGCAGAGGGAAAAGGTTTATTGGAAGTGAAATTGTCATTGTAAATTTTGAGGAATCAACTAAAATATCTCGAAATGTGGACATCTTTGCTGTAACATAAATTCTGTAGTGTACGTATCTACGTAAATAGTCTACATACTTTTTAGGGAGAATGCATGCGTATAAAGAGACAAAGATCCCCCATATAGCCTTAACATACTGTTGGGGCAAGTGCTGTTAGCGAGCACCTTTGAAGGCCGGCATGGCCCACGAGGGAATGGGTGGCCAACACCACCCACGGCCGCCTTTGTCTCCCTAGTGGCAATGTTTTTCACACCACTCCAGGTACTCATATGAAGCTGAGTTGACTTAGAGGAGGCCCAGAACCGGTTCAGATAATCATCACTGCTGTTGGCTGTGACCGGGAATCGAACTTGGGTCACCAAGTGCGTAGCGCAGCGCTCTAACTGCGACACTACCGCCACACTACCGCTGTCCACATATATCTAGACACACGCACGCACATGTGTGTACGTCAGAATATAAGTAAAGTAAACATGACTTAGAGTCTGCTGAAATTTAGTGCTTAAAGTGAGCTGGCTGTTTCAAACACGCGTGTGTGAAAGAACACTGTTGTGTGATTAACCTGTGGTTCATGTTCGCTGTACGGTCTTTGACGGTACCGGTAGCGTAGATTTTATTAAAATGACACGGAATGACGAGCTTGCCGTGAGCGCGGGCACTGGCCTGGCAGCGCACGGAATCTGTGCCCCTCGTTGTGATGGATGCAACCTGCCTTGCCCAAAGCACAGACGGGGCCCGCCTTTCTCACACGCTCCCGTCGCGTGTTGGAGCGTTCGAGACACCGGCGGAAAACACAAGGAAGGGGGGATGGGGTGGGGTGTCTGCATCAGTCGGCCCAGTCTGCCCCCCATATTTTACAATGTTTGTCGCTTAGTTTTTTTACAACGTTTTGATAGAAAGCCCGTGCACAAATGCACGGTCACGTTTGTGAAAATATCCATAATACAGTTTTTTTTGGGTTAGATCACGTAAATATAAATGTGTTGTTAAACCCGCCACCAACCGACACAGCCAATTAGTAAGGTTTGTCACGTAAACAGAACATGCCAATTTGTTACTCGTACAGCACACCGGTGTGCTGGAAAGCAAATCCATAACATTTACAATCTGAAAACCTGCCTTATGGATGATATTGGTCGCGAAAGCATACGTACTCTGAAAATATTGACGAATTGAAAAAAAGAGCTTTTCCCCTGCAGTCTAAAATTATAGCGAAATAAAGATAAATATTTATTCTCAGTATTATGTTTACGTGTATCTGAACAAATGCTGTGCTTATACTTACCAGTTTTAAATGAGTAATTGATATTATTAAAATATGTTCCATAGCATTGGACTGTCATGGTACAGTCAAAAGCTAAAATTGTAGACGCTGCTGCCAATATTATATAATGTATAATTTGGAATGAAGCAATTTATAACTCAAATATTATTCCACAGGAGCGAATATTTTACATGTAATCCAATTGCAGACAACTTGATTGCAATTACAGCTATTTCTATGTATCCTATTGCGGTGAAAACATGCACATTTTGAGACTCATAATCTCTGCATTTCAAGTGAGGTGGAAATTTCTTTGCTTGTCCAACAGATTAACTTGGGCATTAGCTAATTCCTTTTTATGCGGGGCTGCATTGTTAATGTAAAGCAATTTTTGGTAAAATCATATTAAAATAATTAACCTAATTACCTGGCCCAGCTCCAGGCTGAGAGAGACACGGCACTCTGTTGCGTTGCTGTGGCCTCTATGCCACGTGTAATTTTGCGTGTCGCCCGCTGATCCGTGCCGCACAGTGAGCCGCCCGTTTCCCTCCCTCTCACTTGAAGCAGCGGCAATTAGTGATCGCGCAACCGACAGAGGCGACCGACCCTCCCAACGAGGGGCTATGGGCATTGATGCTCGCTCGCTCAATCACCTGCTCGCTTGCTCGCTCGCTCCGCTCTCTCACTTGCCGGCTCGCAACGTCCCATTAGGGTAATCCAGAGGAGCAACCCGATCGTCAATCACCCGACCTCAGAAAACTTAATTTAGACACGTGGCCAGGTAGTCATCGCCGCTCAATAATGACAGTCCTGTTCCCAATTCGCTGCTTTTTTATTTCCCCCCCCCCCCCCGCCCATTTCCAAGAGGCCCCTTTCGCACACTGTTTGCACTGTGCAACGGGCAGGTAGGGTGGCCTGTGAGCCTCGCGTTCAGCAAGTGGAAATGCCGTGCAGGCCCCGGGGCTCTTAAGAGCGTATTCATCGGGTCGAGTCAGGATTCGTGTTCAGTTTGATTTCTGGAACCCGTTCCCCGGCGCGCTTGCACACACATCTAAATTGAACGCGTGTGCCTCGGAGAACACTTCATTGTACCCATAACATGCTTATTTACCTCCTGTAAGTGCCCTTAATAGTCAGCGCTTGCCTACCAGTAGCCTGATCAGCCTTAGTTTTGCCCACCTTTTGGAAGCTATTATATTCCCTCGAACAGCGCCGTGGATAATGGCACTTGTGTTGTGGGGGTAACCTGAGAAACCTGTGGTATTACGAGCTGTTTGATTCTGTAATGGAAAGTTAGAAAACTCGAGTAATCTCTCTGCTTTCGTGCTCCCCGTGGACTTATTTAAGTGTTCCAATATGCACGGGAGGTTGCGTTGTGGTCGAGATCCTGCATCGGCAAACGTTTATTATTATTAATATTCGAAGTATACTTTACACGAAAAAAATTAAACTCTTAAAATGTTAATCTTGCATTGAAATATATGTCGCTAAAATTGTTTGCGCAAGGAGGCCAATGTAAGCTTCACTAACCTCGCAGCATAATGTAAACTAATTAATTAAGGCCATGTTTTTTGTGCATGCTTAATTGCCGTATATTCATACCGAGTATTGAGCAGAGCGTATTTATGAAATGGATGTTTTGAATTGCGAGTAATATTTAGTTATTTTTTCATAAAAACGGGGACCCTGCTGATGACTTAAATCTGGCACTCGCGCGCACACACATAACCCGTGAATGCTGCACTGTGCAGGAGGAATGTCCCGTCAGCGTGATTACAACCAATTCAGAATGGCAAGAGAGTTTTACTGTTGGACAAACTTAATCCTCATGGAAGCTGCCCACCTGAGCAGACCCCTTCACAAGTCCAGGAGAAACTGGCGGTCTGCGTTTTCAGCCTTGTCAGGATTAAGTGATTTTTCCTCAGAAGTGGTGCTCCAGTTTGATAGAGCTTTGCTTGGCCGTGGGGCTGGCTGTGTAAGCCTTAAATCCTTTGATTATTGTGGCGATGTCAGATTACGGAGATTTAATAAGTTTTGCGAGCAGTAGTGAAGCCAGGCTTTTGTGGCCCCCTCATTGAGGACCAAGGTAGGCATTTTAATGCTTCCACTGGTTTTGATGACGATAATTGCTATATACACGGGTGTTTATTTAGTCCACAAAATAATCCTAAATTAAGAAAGGGGCCTAGAAAGGGCCCGCTTTTTGTTTTCCCGGCATCGTTTCACTACCCTCAGTCAAAACATCAGGTTCAGGCTCAAACTGGACAAGTGATGACTGGAATAAGTATGATTGGGCAATTTCTATTTCCATGAAATGTGTGTTTCATAAATAAGTACATAATACAGGCTTTTGTACTCCTGCACAGTGTATTAAAATAGTATAGGCATGGCCTCGGCCACATGATGATAATTACTTGTGTTCACAGAGTAGAAAATGGCGGGCCTCCTACTTGCTTTCTCTCTGACGTTCTTTCCTTCCCTGGAGATGTTCAGGCCAGTCATCCTCATCCGCGGGAGAGACATGTCCGCTTTTCCCCTACAGCATTGTTTAGAAACCAGTAGGCAATCTGACACGATTAATTGGACGCAAACAGAAGCACAGGACAAATTACGACCCTGTATACTGTTGTTTTTGCCCGTTTTATCACATTTGTATTGCCGAATGATTATGAGCCAGTCTTAGCCAGTAGTCAATCGTCACTCAGTGGGAGGTCTCTTATTCTCTACTGGCTGCCCCAATCATCTGCAATCTGCTTCCCCTGGCCGTCCGTGCTGTCGGCTCCCTGCACCTGTTCAAGTCCAGGCTTAGGACTTGGATTTTTCCTCTGCCAAATTTTGATTTAAAGCTTTCGTGACTGCAGGGATTCATATTCTTGGTTCTTTCGGTAAAGTCATGTAGAAGGGAAACAATAAAATAATACAAATATAGAACAATAATATTCTCACGACGTTTCGACTGCAACACAAGCAATCATCATCAGGTGTGAAAACCACAACAAGAAAATTTGAAGAAAGTGGCGGGTTTTTTTAACGTTAGCACCACGGATAGCGATTTGACAGTTTGTTCAGATGGACGAGTCCATCTATGTTCGGAAAAGAGGAGGGGGGAGACGAAAAATAATGGATGCGGTCTGAAAGCCACCTTAAGCGTGATCAATCAATTAAGACCCGAAATGGTTTATCAAATCCTTCCAATGATTGCTAAGCCAGAATCCATCTTCTCGGTTGAAATTGTCTCTGTTTGTATATGTGACAGAGGTTATTTGCAAGCCATCTGGCTACTATGAGAGATTCGTTCATGAGGCTATCCACATATACAAACACAGAGACAATGTCAACCGAGAAGATGGATTCTGGCTTAGCAAGCATTGGAAGGATTTGATATAAACCATTTCAGGTCTTAATTGATTGATCACGCTTAAGGTGGCTTTCAGACCGCATCCATTATTTTTCGTCTCTCCCCTCTTTTCCGAACATAGATGGACTCGTCCATCTGAATAACTGCCAAATCGCTCTCCGTGGTGCTAACGTTAAAAAAAAACGCCACTTTTTTCAAATTTTCTTTTTGTGGTTTTCACACCTGATGATGATTGCTTGTGTTGCAGTCGAAACGTCGTGAGAATTTTGTCTTATATTTGTATTATTTTATTGTTTCTCTTCTACGTGACTTTACCGAAAGAAGCAAGAATATGACTGCCTCTTCCTGTCCACAAAATGAATATATTCACTATTTTCTGTACGGCATCTGGAGATGCTGTCGCCTTGAGACACAATATGCATCCAAATTGTGTTCTACAATCCAGATTTCCCTTGGAAAATCATCTTAGTTTCTTAACTGTATACAGCCATTAATCAATCCAATACCGGACGAAGACCTCTCCAAACCACGTAACTACTTGCGCACACATATCACGCAACCAAACAATCTAATGCACTTTCTAATAAGGAAAAACAAATAAATAAATATTCCATGCCCGTCTGACGCCATCGCTCTGATTCTGCCTTTGCAGCCCCCGAGTTGGTTCTTCGTAAAGTGATCAACTTCTCGGACTGCACGGTGTGTCTGGACAAGCGCAGCGCCAGCGGAAAGATCGAGCTCTACCAGGACCCGCTGATCTACAAGTGCTCCTTCCGCACGCGCCTGCACTTCACCTACGAGAGCCTTAGCGGCAAGATGCCCTCCATCATCAAGGTTTGCTCTCGCGCGTGCGCCAGATGGCTCCCGCATGGTTGGCTACGCGCGGTGCGAAAGAAGTGCCAACGTACATACACATGTTGCACGCGAGAAGTTTATCGCATGGGGCAGTTCTGTTGAACGTACGAGCTGCGTAGCATGGGCAAGGATGTTGGGTGTTAGATGTGTATCTATTCACCCATCACGAAGCCCGGCTATTCCGTACATTCTCTCGATTCGGGGCCACGACGCGACTTGTGAATCGATGAAACGTTTTGTTTACGTTGCGGTGACTGTGACGGCTGCTTGTTGTTCATTTCGTCAGAGAGCGTAAACCATTAACCACGTGAACTTCGGTCATCCTCACACCGGCCTCTGGGCTGGCCATAGAACAAAGAGGGTCACCGCGTCGCGCGCTTTCAGGTGCGCTTCTGCGGCCGTCTGGAACGCTCTTCCGATATTAGGAAGTCACTTGAGCGATGCGCTTTTTAAGCTAGATGGGAAAACTCAATTCTTGAGAACTGCTTTTTGCGTTTCGTTTGTTTTCCTTCCCCCGAAGCTCTGATTATCACAGTAGTCTACGTACGGCGCTAAAGGATTCAACATACACACATACGTACTACGCTATAAACTACACTGCATACATTGTGATTGAGCGACGTTTTGTGAGCCTGTTGTGCGTAACATGCAGAAGAAAACGACAGTTTCTTGCGCGCACGATTTGTTGCACGCTGCTCGAGGTCAATAATCGATAATTATCGACTAATCTGTGCACCTATAGACCCTTATTTTACACACACACACATAGGCCTACATGCGCAGACTTGCATGGGGCATGGATAAATGTATCCATTGAAAACGTCCAGTGTGCACACTTTCCATCCCGCTCTGCCTAGTCCCCATGTTTCACACTCGTGTAACCCACTCCCATGTTGCACCACGTGTTGTGTCGGCACGGTGTCCGACGTTTAGCTCCACGTGCAGGGAGCCTCATTGGGAACTGAAAGCTTCCGACGAATTCGGGAATGCTCAGCCGCAACCCGAGAAACGCACAGCACAACCATGACGTGGCTCCGTACACGTTGCCTTAATTGCAACAAGTCTGTCGGTCTCTGCTTACAGCACTCTGGTTTGTGTACTTAACTCTCTTGATGCAATCATAACAGAGACATTGACTTTTCCGGGGTATCTGTGGTTATGTGTGTGCATGTGTGTGTGTGTGCGCGCGTGCGTGCATTTTGTCAACTTGGTACCACAATAGCGCTCTGTCAAAGCATTTTCGAAAGATGTTGAAGTGTGATTTCTGGAAGCCTTGGGGTGATGCAGGTGGTGGGTGTTTTTTATGCTATTTGTATGGCCGCATAATAAATGATTACATCTATTCCAACCATTCTAAACCTACCCACGGATGAAGACATCATACTTTACGCTCGTCAGCGCGGGTTGGTGAAGGAAGGGGGTGTGCAGGGCAGCACCGGTTCTGATATCCCACGTCACTCACACTGTGATGTCAGCTGTGGCCAGCAATCGAATTATCGGGTTGATGGGTTCGCAGTCTCGCACGCAAATCACCGTGCACCACTGCTTCGCTCCGTGTGCCTGCATCTTACGTGCTCACTCTAATTCGTTGACTTGGCACGGAGGGCGTGCATTGGCTCGCCCCACAGGACGATGGCGATTTGACGCCACGAGGTCGCGAGGTGAGAACTCCATTCTCAGGTTGATCGGGTATTGAGGGCAGGATATTTTTCAATTTGATAATTTTCATCATTATCATTTTAACAAGTCAGGTCCATATTCTTCGGGTCTTTCGGTAGAGTCACGTTGATAGGTTCAAGGAAAACAACAACAAAAAACTACGACGTTTCGATCACAACACAAGCGGTCGTCATCAGGAGGGGAAATAAAAGAGGGCCAAAGCTGCTGAGGGAGACTGCTTAATCCCTTGTTCATCATGACGTCATTTTTACTGCCTCAGCAGCTTTTCCCCCTCTTTTTTTTCCCTCCTGATGACGACCGCTTGTGTTGTGATCGAAACGTCGTAGGTTTTTTTGTTATTTTCTTTGAACCCATCAACGTGACTTTACCGAAAGACGCAAAGAATATGCATTCCTGCAGTCACGAAAGCTCTAAGTCAAGATTTCAGTAAGGTCCACTGAGCGATATAGCTCTTTTTCAGAAGCGACCTGGCCACACATGATTGCTCAACAAAGTGGCTTATCGCGTGGAAATTCAAAGCGGTGGCCAAATACTGTAAAACGCATGTTGAGGGAAAAACCGGAGGATCCGGATAAAAAATATACGCAACCACGGGGTAGAGAGAGAATATGCAAACTCTAAATATACAGGCGTCAAGGTCGGATTTGAACCCACGACTTCCTGTATTCCAGGTGAGGTAGTTAACACCTTACCATCGTGGCACCCTAATATTGATCAGTCGAATGTCACAGATGTGTCTCTCTTGCAATATGTCTATAGGAATGGCAACTTATAAATAAGTTGATGTCCAGATTTGCCAGAAAATGTCATCCGTTGATTGTGCAGTGGATTTTGTTGAGTGCCTCTGTAAAATTGTTATGTTTCGCAGTGGTTCGGTGGTATATTGCTCGATGGTCTGGTCGACGTTTCCACAATCGCATTCCAGGCCTCCTTTGATTATTGCTACAGTGGTCACCGACATGCTCTTACCGTATACATTAGAACGCCATTGCAGTGCCCCGAATTCGCGGGAACTTGCCAAATGCGTTACACTTGCATTATGTATACATTCAATTAGTACTTATGGGCGAGGGCCGGGGGGATGAGCCCTCCCACGTGTGACCACCTCGTGGCCATGCTCCTCGATGTTAAAAAGTTCCCAAGCTTGGATCTCGTAAAGCTTGTATGGCCTCAGCTTAAATTTGGCTAACCAGCTCATTATAAACTATATAGCTCCAATTTTCGAGCAGGACTTGTGTGAAAATTCCGAGCCTTTATCAATTCCTTTTTTTTATCTGCTCGCATATTATTTACTGATTACGTGGTATGATGGCTGCAGAAAGGCTGAGTATTCCCGAATTCGTCGGAAGCTTTCAGTTCACAATGAGGCTCCCTGCACGTGAAGCTAAACGTCGGACACCGTGCCGACACAACGCGTGGTGCAACATGGAAGTGGGTTACACGAGTGTGAAACATGGGGACTAGGCAGAGCGGGATGGAAAGTGTGCACACTGGACGTTTTCAATGGATACATTTCTCCATGCCCCATGCAAGTCTGCGCATGTAGGAATATGTGTGTGTGTAAAATAAGGGTCTATAGGTGCACAGATTCGTCGATAATTATCGATTATTGACCTCGAGCAGCGTGCAACAAATCGTGCGCGCAAGAAACTGTCGTTTTTTTCTGCATGTTACGCACAACAGGCTCACAAAACGTCGCTCAATCACAATGCATGCAGTGTAGTTTATAGTGTAGTACGTATGTGTGTATGTTGAACTCCTTTAGCGCCGTGCGTAGACTTACTGTGATAATCGGAGCTTCGGGGGAAGGAAAACAAACGAAACGCCAATGCAGCCGTGCGTATGTGTGGCGAGCAGTAGTGTCGCGGTGAGCTCTCTGTGCTATGAACCCCACAACCCTCACGGCCCACGCCGGTGACGATAATCTGAACCGGTCCTGGGCCCCTCCCCAAGGTCGACTCAGTCTCAAATGAGTACCTGGTGCGGTGTGAAAACATCGCCACTGTGGTGACAAGGGCAGGCATGGGGCGTTGGCCACCCACCCCCCCAATGTCTGCCCTGCCGTGCTAAGTACTCAGATCTAGTTTTGATACGTGCGAGGACATGGTTTTGGATCTGCCATTTGTAGTTTGGATTCGATTTTAAGTGGACCATTGTTTTGGAGGTAGAGGTTAAGTTCCGCAAGTAGTTTTTTTTTTTCTGTGTGGGATCGGCGATCAGGTGCCAGTTTGGGATATTGGTGACACAAGCACTGGGTTCAAGAGCACGTGCCAAGAAGTCATACTGTTTAATTACCCGCACAGCAAGTACAAAATAATCTGAGGAAATACCGACCCTAAAGTTACGCGTTGTGAAGTACACTGTAAGCGATACTAGAACACTACCACTCTGGTCACATACAAAACACCGATTAATATATATTGGCTGAAAAGTTAATCTTGCATATTTTTACTTTATCATGTTTTTTTTTTAATCCCCCCTCCTTGCAAAGGAGCCTGTTTATTGTTACTCAAGTTTATGTAATCCTCATCTCTTTGTCACATTTTTGTGTTCATTCTTTCAGCTGTATTAAAATAACTCCCGTGTTGTTTATAAGAATCCAAGCAACACCATTATAAGTGCTTTCCAAACCCCCTTCCAGATTTTAGATCACTTTATTTTTCACGTTTTTATTTTATAATTGTATTACAGTGATACATTCCGACGCGTTACACCATTTTCTGCTCGCAACATTTCAAGTCCTTGCAAAAAATAACGATCAGAAGCAAGCAAGTGCCTGGTTGGATCTGAACAATGAGTTCATTGCGCAAATACATCCAGCGCGTCTTAGTGGGGTGCCACAGTGAAGGTCGTGGGTTCGATCCCGACCCTGACGCCTGCTTATTTGGAGTTTGCGTGTCTCTCTCTCGCCCCGTGGCCGCGTGGATTTGTCTCCTGGACCTCCGGTTTTTCCCTCCACTTTTATTCACGTGCTTTTCGGTGTATTTGGCTGCCATACATTTCCACGTGATCAGCCACTTTGTTGAGCTATCACTTGTGGCCAGGCCACTTCTGAAAAAGAGCTACGTAGCTCAGTGGGCCCTTCCTGGTAATACAAAAAATAGTTTCTCATTGGTTTATTAAAAATTAGTTTGTTTTGTTCCATTACAAATACGGCAACGTTACCTCGGTGGGCTGTCATCCTATTTTGAGTCGCATACGCTACTTGTCCCTGAGACCACGACCCTCTTGACGTTTTGGCCGTTATCGAGCAAAAGCTGTGTTCACCGGCATCCATGGGGAATGGAGGGTACCGGTTAATCAAACATTTAGCACCTCCGATTAGCACGATTGGCTACGTACGGTTCGAAATAAGTTCAACATTCATTCATATGCTGTTTGCCTGATGATGCTAGTTGTAAATACTGGGGAAACGTCGTACTCAGATTGTAAATGCTGTGGATTTTCTCTCCAACACACCGGTGTGCTGAACTAGTAACGAATTGGCACGTTCTGTTTACGTGACAAACCTTACTAATTGGCTGTGTCGGTTTAACGACACATTTCTATTTCCGCGATCTATCACAAAAAAACCCTATATTATATCTGAGAGTTATACTTACGGTTCACCAAATTTTCTAAGTGCATAAAACATTTATAGAAAGAAACCGAGCATTACATTTTTTACTAAGATATAAGAATTAATGCACACTTTTGCAGAGGTACTCACCGGTCGATTTTGTAGCATTCAAAGTTGATTGTAGAGAGGAGTAGGGTGGTTTAGAATACAGTACAGTTGTGCAGTGCCGTATGTACAGCTGCCATAAGTACCACCACTCAGCAGTGTCCTGAAGCTTCTCTAAACACAGATCTATGATAAGCGCATGGCATGATGCCGGATGGCTGTCAGAATTATACCGGATAAGTGAAGGGAGATTTGCATTGCCGGCAATAGCAGATGCCGGTTAATAGAGCATTCCGGATGGAAAAGTGCCGGATAACAGTTTTTTTTTTCTGCAGAGCATTGCGCTGTGTTTTTGCAGAGGTCACTTGTCACCAGTTGAACGCATTACGTTCACGAGACATTGAGAGGCGCTGTATTGTGGATGGGTTGATTAATTTGACACTGCTGCTATTTGGTGTTCTCAGAGTAGAAAATGTAAATGCTGACGTTGAGCCGTACACAAGGTAATTGAGTTGCCTCTGCTTCTGAATGTCGTTATTTTCTTATTTATTTTTTTCTTCTTTTTCCCCCTCGCCCCTAAGTACCGGTAATATAATACGACCACACACATCAGTATATTGAAAAGATAATTTTTAAGTAAATGTTTATTCAAGGCGTCGCAGTTTGAAGGACCATTTAACAAATTTGACATTTCAGTATTTCTTGTGTCAGCAGTTTCTAGGTAAGCTAAGTCCTCTATCGCAATGCTCGTAGATGCAGTCACCACACACGTGTCTTTGAGCTTACTGGTCGATCTGTTGTGCCATTGGTCATGAAGGGAGCTGACGTGGTGTAATGACGAGCTCAATGGACTCGCAATCCAGACACATCGCAAGTTCGATTAGATTCTCCCAGTACGGCAGTTCAAACAAACTGCCGCTGCCCACCCAGCTGTTCGAATGGTTTCACCACAGTTAGTCGATCGGTGGGTCACATTGTGGATACGCACCCCGTCGTGCGCAACGTTTGATCCGCGTGGAAGATTGGGCCAATTATCTTCTAGACTAGAGCGAGTTCCCTTTAACGGAGGCCCTTCCGCCAGCAGTGGCGTGAGCAAGCTAGTAAGTGATCGCAGGGTTTGCACCTTTGCCGTTTAAACTGAGAAACGAGGGCACAACATACCATGCGAGAAAATTATTTACAGCGCCGTGCCGTTTGTAAGTTCACACGTTGCCAATCGGTGCATTTGTTACTAAAATTCCTTTGGAATTGGGTGCTGGTTCCTTACTTTCAGGAGCAGTAATCGATTCTGAAAACGGTTACCAGTTTGCCTGTTATCGTTTAACAACCCTACGCACAAAATTTACAAATAGAAAATAACCGATTCTTCCACATGCGATTGAACGTGCGCAGTGTGCTTTAGGATTTATATAAATGTATTAATCTATGCATCATTGCACCTTTACCAGACAGTGAAACCATTGCACAACACAGTGGAATTTAATTTTACAGTTTTTTTTTTATCAATATGGAACGTGAGTCGTAATAAAAACAAGTTGACTTGTAACATCCCAATCCTCCTGTCAGAGCACATTTTTTCAAAGTCGTTTACAAAGATCGTCTGACTGGGGGAGCTGCTGTTTTGGCTACCCTTGGCACGTGTGGCTGTTTCTGTCCGTCTGATTAAACCCGCTGTGGATTGCAAATGAAGTGTGGCCACAAGAAAGTCATTTAAAAAAAATAACACTCCCATTTTAATTGGTTTCCTGGAATAGTTCAAATGCATTCACTTGTGACGGTGACACCATGAATACCTGAAAACGTCTATCCGAACAGATTTTGTTACGTTGTATTTTTTATGATTCATATATTTTGTTTAAACATTATTTGAAATTATATAATACAGCGTGTCCATAAAGGCATAATCCGTTGTTGTACAATTATAATTACAGAGCAGTTTCGGCTACAACACGCAACATGCTTAGTAGTTTTGGAGATAGCATCGTACCGCCGATTAGTATGGTTGGCTACGTACGGTACGAAAAAAATCAAAATGTATAAGTACAGCGTGCAAGTCTCGTCCCTCTCAACCTCCTCGTGTCCGTTGTGGCACTGGCGACATGTGTCATTTCGAGATTTGAGAGAAAGTGCCAGGTGTTGGCTAACAATCTCACGTGTGATTGTTCCCAAACCTTCTGTTATTGATGTTGAGAAAAGATTAACGCATTTCTCAATATCACTGTGGCATTGAAAAGAGGAATAAAACGGGTGACGTTTGGGGGCAATGGTCCTTGTACATAGCACATAAGAAGAATCTCCATTTCCCAAAACGCCGCCTATTAGTATATGTTTTTCGTTTTAAGGGCACGGGTGTAATTGACGAATGCGTTGGCTCTCATTTTTTTTATTTGTGCTTGGAACACCACTGCCAATGTGGCAGCATCATCAAATCGTTTGTGCTGTTGAAGATCATTCCGGTGTTTTTATTTCGTTGGCACACACACACATTACCTGTCACGTAAACCCAACATTCACCCACACAGTTCAAGCCGCTGTCTAATAGTGGATTATACTTTTGTGGATTCCCTGTATATACAAGTGGTATGATTTAATGCTTCCACCCCCCCCCCCCCCCCACCGTTTATCCTTATAATCTCGTGCCATTAGCAAGCACCTATATAGGCTAGCAGAGCACACTTGATGTTGCCAACCACGTGTGGCAAACCATGCCCGGCCGCCTTTCGTCTCCAGGTTGTTGAATTTTGTAGGCTGTAACAGTCACCCATTTAAGTCTGAGTTGACCCTAGGGTGGCTCAGACCACACACGTGCATACGGATTAAAGAAAAGCACACTCAAGGCGTTTATAGCTTTGCTTCACGTGAAATTTCCTCCACTGGTATGTCTGTAAAGTGGGATGATTAATCGCCTGAGATTTATAATTAGTTTGGGGAGTACGGCAATACTATATTTTTCATACAAAAAAAACCTCACCTGATATGGCCAATTTCTACGAGGAAATGTAAACCTTTCTCATGTCTCCTTTGCTCATAATTCATTCCAAATTACCAGGACCTAAAACATCTCCATAACTGTTGATGTATGGTGGGAATATACGTTGAGATTAATTCTCTTCCAGACACGCGGCTATTTGACACTTTTCCCTTTCGGCAGCCCGGCGAACATGGGGCTCGGCGATGGACCGAGAGCGAGGGTATTTCTGTAACTCTATCGCTTTCCCACAGAGCCGCACGCTGTGCTGGAGACCGATCCTGTCCATCACGGCGCGAGAGAAGCCTTGTCGCAGTGGCGTGCGCCGGCGTTCGGTCGCGTATTTTTTCGAGGAGCGGGTCACGAGAAGGGGGGGGGGGTTCTAACGTTACACGTGCCCCCTTCCCCGCAGATTCACACGCTGTGCGAGAGCCTCACTCTCTCCGTCACCGACCAGCAGCTTCCCATGTTCATCCGCCTCATCCAGCTGGGGATCGCTCTCTACTACGGCGAGATCGGGCAGCCGGACGTCGCCCAGGCGGGAGACGAGGGCCCCCCGCACACTCCTGAAGTGCCCATGACAGGTACTCCTACTTCCTGTAGCCCCAGGGGGCCTGGAGGACGTACGGCTCGTGGGCCAGATGTGGCCCATGACTTCATTTCACCCGGCCGCGTGACTTAATTTCGTTCATCCTGTCGCCGCCACACGAGGCCCACCGCTTAAAGTGGGCCTGCTAATTGCATTTGTCCGTCACTGCACGCAAGCATCTTAGCCGCGCTTATTATCGGCTCTTGGGAGTGAAATTTATTCGACTCCGGCAACACCGTTAATTTTATATGAGCGTTTTTAGTTAAGGCGAGTACTCATAATGTTTGGGTTATTATTTGATAACGCCATGGTTGGCGAGATGTTCTCTATCTCCTCTGGTATAGAAGGGGGTCGTTGCTTCAATCCTGTCCCTGACGCCCTTGATATATTTGGAGTTTGCATGTTGCCCCCATGGTCGTGTGGATTTTTATCCGGGTGTTCCGGTTTTTCCCCTCCACATTTAGAACCAAAGAGTATGGATTCCTGCAGTCACGAAAGCTTCAAATAAATGTTTTTTTTCCTACTTACAGTGTTGGAGAGGGGAAAAAAGCAGCGCAAGTGCCAACGTGACCCATGTAACTTGCATCTCTTTACAGCCCTTTGTCAATCCACTGCTGTATGAAAGCCTCCCTGTGCCGAGTTGCTTGGCCATACTTCACCGCGCTGGTCAGCGTGGATTGGCGAAGGAGGGCGGCATGCCTTGGACCAGTTCAGATATCACTCGGTTAGCTGTGGCCGGGAATTGAACCAGAGAAGCCAGGTTCAAAGCACAGTGCACTGCTAACCAGCACGTCACCGCTTTGCTCCTAACTTGCATAGCAATGGGCTGAATCTTGTTATGTTTAAGTCATCATTGATGTCTGTTGCTGCTAAGCCGTTGGGCGGTTTCTTCAAATCAGGCTGAGAAAAATGTATCGTGTTGTTTTTGCAGTCGGGAGGACAGCTCTCTGGGCTATTTGTCATACAGTGAAAAGCCTCTCACACCATCGCTGCATCTGATAGGCAGGCTATCGGATGAAAAAAAAAGTCATTTATTTTCATCGGGAGAGATTTCAAGAGTTGATGTTTTTCGCCCGTCCTTTTCATCCCGGTGTCTTCGACCGGATGATTAATGTGTGGCCCCGCGAGTGTTCGATAACGAAGTTGTGCTCCTTGGCTCGGCAATGAGTTGGCCGCGTTCCCGCGCGGGAACTTTGAGAACGTCGATGTTTTAATCCCGTTTGCCATCTCTTGACGCGCACTCGAGCCCCGAGCCACCCACCCCCCCCCCCCCCACGCCGCCCGCCCATTCTCACACGGCGGACGCCGTCCTCGGTTCACATGCCGCGGCGGTGCACGAGGCGCGGCTCGAAAAAGTTTTGATTAAAAACCCACGTGGCGTCCCTGTGCGCGTGCGTGTGTTTGTGTGGGCCGCGTCTCTCAAGGAGCTTCGCCAAAGCGGGTGGGCCATGTTCGTGGAGAGACAAGCGATGGCCCGTCCTAGGCAGAGGACGTGGAGAGACAAGAGATGTTCCATCCTAGGCAGAGGACGTGAAGAGACAGGAGATGGCCCGTCCTAGGTAGAGGACGTGGAGAGACAAGAGATGTTCCGTCCTAGGAAGAGGACATGGAGAGACAAGAGATGTTCCGTCCTAGGTAGAGGACGTGGAGAGACAAGAGATGTTCCGTCCTAGGTAGAGGACGTGGAGAGACAGGAGATGGCCCGTCCTAGGCAGAGGACGTGGAGAGACAGGAGATGGCCCGTCCTAGGCAGAGGACAAAAGAGGGAAGTGTCTTTGAGGCCTGGACTCGAACGGGGAGTCATGAGCGCACGGATTGGCTGGGGGAATGTAAATGCACGCGCGTTCAACGTTAATTTCCGACAGACTACACTGATTCTGTTGAATGTATAGCATATGAAAGCGAGTCTTCATGGTTCGCTTAACACACAGCTAGTGCCAACTTTTGAACTGTGTCATTCTCAAAAGAGTGTTCACCGCTCTAGTTACGCTTGTACGTATGGGCCACTCCAAGGTCGACTCAGCCTCAAATGATTGCCTGGTGCGGTGTGTAAACATCGCCACAAGGGAGACAAAGGTGGCCGGGCGTGGTAGATGCCACCCACCCCCTTGTGTGCCGTGCTGGGACCTTTATAGGTGCTGCTCGCTAACAGCACTTGCCCCAACAGTCTGTTAAGGCTACACGGGGGGGGGGGGGGGGGGATCTTTTTCATTTGTTTGTTCTGTAACGTAACGTGCTCTTAAAAAAAAAATGTAAACACCGTTACAATGCTGTTTTTTTGGTGCGCAGTCTGCGGCGCTCTTGCCAACGAAGGCCATCGTCGGATACGCAGCAACGCGCCGGGCGTTCGTGGGTCCCGTGGAAAAATTGAGCAGACGCGCCGCTGACAGGGCCGACGTGGTGAAAGATGGGCTTTGTGACCCCGGGCCAGCTTTCTGATTTCACGTCGCAGGAATGCACGGCGGGCAGGCCGCGAGGGCCTGAGCAGAGCGCGGGGGATTATGTGGGCAGGGGCAAGCTTAGCGCCACCGGGGGTGGGGGGAGGAAGGAATTTGTTAAATATTGAGATCTCGCTGGAAAAACGTGGGCTTTGCGAGGGTGCCGGAAACATACGGACTCGCATGCGTACGTATGTACGTACACGTGTGCACGTGCGCACGTACACACACAGAGATAACGATTCCCGACAGCCTAGCACGTACACACACATATATCACTAAGATAAAGATTCCCTGCATGTCGGGGCAAGTGCAGGTTGCGAGCATCTATTAAAGGCCGACACAGGGTACGCAGGGGCAGCTGTGACCAGCACCACGCTCGGCTGCTTTGGCCTCCCCAGTGCTAATGTTTATACACTGCACCAGGTGCTCTTCTTTTAAGGGCTGAGTCGACCGAGAGAATGCTCAGGAGCCTTTCGTACATTTCACCGCTGATGTTATCTTTGGTCAGGAATCGAACTCAAGGTCGCCAGGTTAATAGCGCAGTGAACTCACCGCTACGCCACCACGCCACCCATGCGTGCATGTGGACACACTGCGTTACTAGACCAACCTGCTTGGGCACCGGATTTTTGCTGTGTTTTGCACTTTTGAACTCTTGCGGTTCAACATATGGGTTTTAATCATCGTCCATCCTCACCTGTGCCATCATCGCCACCTTCATCGTTTTCATCATCCGTTTCCTTATCCTGTATTGTTAATGCGTTGTAACAAAAATAAGCAGTTTTACAGATGAGGAGTATTTGTGGTGAATATGTGGTGGGGGCATCAGTGCAGTGAATAGTGAAGTGCGCTGTGCTGTGTACCTGGCTGACCGGAGTTGAATTCCCAGCCGGTCCAAAGCCCTCCCTTCACCAGCCCACATTGACCCGTATGGTGAAGTATGGTCAAAAAACCCCCACGACTGACAAGGTGTGGAGAGACTCTCCATCCATCGTTTTATTGACAAATCCTGGAAATTATGATTGTGAGTTTAATATTTGAGATTTGCAATTTGTTGAGTGTTTGAGGGCGGATAGAGGTGATCGATAATATTATATAATTAGTTCACTAGGCTAAGTGAGCGAAATATGTCAATATTATAATATATTCTCGGTAATGGCGATTATTGTTTACATTTTAAATACAGTACGAGTACAAAGGCAAAAGACAAGACTGAACAGCATAATTCGATGAGAATGCGAAGCAAAATAACGGTGTCCGTATTCTTTGGGTCTTTCGGTAAAGTCACGTAGATGCGATCAAAGAAAATATTATTTTGTTATTTTCTTTGAACCTATCTACTACGTGACTTTACCAAAAGACCCAAAGAATATGATACAATAATATGAATTCCTTCAGTCACGAAAGCATTCAGTCAATATATAACGGTCCCTTTAATAACTACTACTTTAAACGTGAAAAATATATATGAAGTGAGAATGTCTGTTAATTACGAACAAATAACGACGTAGCATTGATACAATAATTAAATTATGCTTAATATAGCTGTGGCAAGTGCTATCAGATTGATTTGACACAAAGTACATTTTTGTGCACTCTGGGGAAAATGTAACTACAGTTTTTTTGGAAACGTCTTTCATTATGGTTAAATAAATGGAAACTGATTAATGGAAAAGCTGTGGTTTGTATCGGTACGAGGGTCCACAAGATGTTAAAATATGCGATAGCTTATGAGTATGTTGACGTTTCAATTCTGGCACGATGCGTTATTTAAGCGCCAGGGTTTGTGTTTTACGTGCATTACTCATTGTTTAATTAATGTGCTTTAAGTAAAGTACCTCAAACACCCAGTCTTACATCTGGCTTAAATCTGCCATGCTGCAGTTTTTAAATGAGTTTCACCTCTGCGTGAGGCCGAGTTTGGGCCAATCGACGGGCACTATACCCCCCCCCCCCCCCCCCCCCCCATACAATATTATACAGCTGGCTCCGTGCCTGTGTTTATTAAATAAAATTGCGATCGTGTCCATTGCAGGACGCTTCAGAGAGCGCGAAACGTGCGCTGCACGCAAAGAGATTCGCGATGGCGCCACGCCTGCCCCATTCGAAGGGCGTGTGAGAAACACCGGAGGGGGTGGAAATCCAGACATCATCGCTGATATGTTTATAATACGCTTCTAGTGTATTTGACACTGCCAGTTCTGCGAAAACGCCCGTGTATAAATACCGTGCTCGTTTTGTTTGGCCTATTTATTTATTACTTTTTTTTAAACCAGCTCATTTTTATTGGAGGGAACACTCGAAGGAAACGCAGTCGGTTGCGGCGACGTTCACACCTTCCACCGCGTTGCAATTAATGGCGAGTGCGTTGCGTGTGATTAATATAGTGCCAATGTAGTGCAGGGGGGCACAAAGCATTTGGTGCGACTTGGAAACAAGGAGTTACCTCTCTTTACTTGAGTATTTTCCATCATAGAGGTGTTTGGGTTAGTTTTTGGGTTTGTATTCTTCAAGATGATTAGTCTTTCCTGGCTAAATAAAGATGATTTATATTACTGTTTATATTTCCTGAAGGGTAGCAATTGGTGTACAGGCTTTCTCCGAAGCGTAAGCGTTATGTAAACGTTTAAATGCCTTGTGGAAATTGTGGCATAGAAAACTTGAGTTTGTCATTATTATTATTGGTACAGATACACCGTGCAGTATGCTGTCAAACATCGCTCCTCCTCCTCCTGAGATCTGCAGGTAGCGAAGAACTCTCCACGTTTAGGAGCCCATCCAAGCCAATCCAAATATTCCCGTCCACACCGATCTCCGACACTTGCCGATCAGTCTCCTAATGTCACTCAAGTCGCTGTCAAGCAGAGCTGGGAACCCTGGCCGATCGCCGATCCTGCTAAAGAACCCCGCGGGATTTTAGACTGCCTCGATCACCGTGGTCCCCACGTCAAATCGAATCCACTCAGCTTACGACATATCTGTCCCCCCGCTACCTTCACAAGTGAAAATTAAAAGAAAGCCCGGCGTGCGATCGTGGAAACACCGACCAGGTCGTCGTTTGTGCAGTGGTGAACCGCCGTGAGCTCCTGGCTAACTAAACTAATCTGTTCGACATCCCGCTGTACGCTCGCAAGGCATATGCTCGCATTCTTCTTTCATATGGATTAATAACGGCAGATTAAAGATGCAGTTTTTTTCATTTGTTATCCACTCAATTGTTCAGAAGCAGAGTGGATCTCTTTTCCATTCCTCCTTTAATGGGGTAAAAGCAGCAGCAGCAGCGGCGGCGGCTGCCGCGGCAGAGTGCTTACTATGCGGTCGACGGTTTGGGATTCGTGGCCGCACTCGCAGGCCGCCCAATCTTTGACTGTGCATCGAGTGGCCGCGTTGGCCATGCCCGTTCCTGATTCGGTCGATGGTCGACCCATTGGTGGTCACGTTAACGATCGAGGACGTTTCTCGCGAACAGAGGACGGCATGGACCCGGAGGACAGCAGCCTGTACTACTCCTCCCAGCGGCCGGACGACAACGAGGGCTGGGTCTCCTGGGCCTGGTCGTTTGTGCCGGCCATCGTGGCGTACGAAGATGAGAAGCGCGAGGCTGCGGAGGGTGACGAGGGCGACGAGGAGGAAGGGGAGGAGCTGGACGTGGGCGGAGACCCTGAGGAGGGCCGCAAAGCGAACCGACGGGGTCATCGCCCGCCCAGAGATCCCATCCTCTCGGTCGGGTTCTACATGACCCGTCTCACTGTCACATTCAAGGTGCGAGGTCGGAGGCTTGCGGCCATCGCCTGCCAGTACTTTACGATTCGTAGCGCTCTTGCATGGACAAAGCGTACGACAAATGTTTGTTTCGCCATTTCCATGCATGCTCGGTTTTTGTGTTTGTTCTTTCGGTTTCCCCAGGTGACCGAGAGCCACCCGGAGAGTGCTTTTTACGGCTCCAACAAAGTGATATTCAAGCCCATTTTAGTCTGGGAGCAGGAGGGAACGGCTGTTGATGTAAGTAGACCGTGCATGGTTTGTGTGTGTGTGTAGGGTGATGGGTTAGCCCACTGCGCTATGAACTCAGCGACCTAAATTTACATTCATGCTCGAAGTCACCATTAGTGGAAAATTATATCTTGTATGTGTATATATGTATGTTGAAATTCTTTCACACCATACGTAGCCAACCATGCTAATTGGAGGTGGCCCTCCCCTAGGTCGACACGGCCTCAAATGAGTACCTGGTGCAGTGTGTGAGCATCGGCACTTGGGAGACAAAGACGGCCGAGCGTGGTGTTGGCCATCCACCGCCTCGTGTGCCGTGCCGGCCTTCATAGGTGCTCGCCAACAGCACTCGCCCCAACAGTCTGTTAAGGCTATACGGGGGATTTTTTTTCATCTCCGTCTTGTGTAAATATGTAGTTCAGCTTGTGATTTATTCAAGCCTGGGCATCCTCTTGAACGTTGAGTCAGATTCACGTCATACAGGAGGCAACCAGCATATTCCGTGTGGAGTGTTTGCCTGCTGGCGGAGTCTCGGCATTCCCGCGCTGTACCCGGTGCGTGTGTGTCCCCCGGCGCCCGCCCATAGGCTCTCATGCAGGGCGAACCCTTCTTCAACTGCCAGTTCGGCTTCGTCAAGTGCCGAGCCTCGTCCCAGCACGGCATTCTGGGAGTCCGAGACTTTGAGGACTGCAGAGAAGATGGTGGAGTAAGTGCCGGACACGGGGCGAGCTCCTGGCTCCATCCTTCTTGTCGGCTGGGTTTTTGAACCTATCTATTGATGAGACTTTCAAAGAGAGTCACGGCTGTGTGTCAAAGCCACTGCTGGATGAAGGGATCTCCACACCGCGTCGGTCAAGGGCGGTTATTTGAACGTACTTCACCACGTTTGTCAGTGGATGTGGGTGAAGGGCGGCCCCGGTGACCTGAGTTATGTTTCTAGTTGTGACCAGGAATATGGCTGGGTTCACAGTGTCGATGTGCCAACGACTGCGCCACCGCTCCACTCTCACTGATGATGGGTCAGCGACGTCACTAAAGACGATGCATTTGCTTCAGCTACTTTTCACCTGCTGGAGGAGTTTCGTGCGGCAGATCGGAAGGCAAACGGAATTCCTCAAGCATGTGGGAACACACTTTTTTTTTCTTTCTCATGGAAGATAAACCAGTCCAACGAGGATATGCACCTAGGCTGTATATCTGTCGAACCTTCAGACAACAGTTGGAAGCCCCTTTAAGCAAAGAGAGGAAATTGACTGAACATAATGTGAACAAACAAATATCTCTCTTGGTCTCATGAATACGTACCAAGGCTCTGTGTCCTGGGTTGACCGATAACACATTTTTGAAGCTCGTTAGTCAGAAAAAAAGCTTTTAAATTGACGGTCAGCAGTGCTCCGGTAATTTCCCTGCGCCATCACGTCCAGCGCAATGCCACTGATATAAGTGGAACACTCCTGATTATAATTTAAAAGGCTCTCTTCTCACTAATGAACGTTCTAACGTTGCGTCAAAAAGTCCAGGACACAGGCTAGGTTCGTGTTTCGTAAAGTACTAGCTGTTCATTTTGTTAGTTCGTACCTCACAGCGGTGGGGAAGTGTAGGCTCAGTTGTTAGTCTGTTGTGCTATGAGCCCTGTGAGCTGAGTTTGAATACCACTCGAGAATAATGATCACCTTGCGGTGATATCTGAGACCGAACTGGTTCTCGGGGCCCCTCCCCCCCCTTCACTGACCCACATTGACCAACGTGGTGAAGTATGGTCAAACAACCCCCATGACTCACACGGCATGGGGGGGAGGTCTTCCAGCAGTTGATTGACGTTTGGTTGTTTAAATTTATTGTTTTTGTTCATCTTTCTCTTCGAGGGAATATCTTTTTTTTATTGGTGTTTATTTTTGCTTTTGCATTGGAGATTTTGTTGCCTAAATGTCTCCCTCCCTCTTTCCACTCGCCAAGTTTCCTTCCGCAATTGGGCAGCTAAGTGACATTGTTTGCCAGCTAATTTTTGCGGACGCGAATGAAGACTTCTACTGCGTAGTTTTTTTCGTGGTTCCGCTGTACAGCTCGTCGATGTGTCTATCCAGACGTACCTCCTCTTGTCCGATGTTTCACTCCCCGCACATGGAACTGTAAGCAGTTGATAAAGAAGCACCCGGATAAGTGGGGAGAAACGTTAGACTTTGTGCCGAACGACACCCGGTACCAGCCGAAAACACATCGAAGAGAGAAAAATGGCGGATTTGCCCGGCGTGCTTGGCATAGCAAAATAAATGTAACTAAAGCTATAAACTATTTTTTTATTTTACCAGGTTAGGCCCACTGAGCTATATAGCTCTTTTTCAAAAGTGATCGGACCACAAATGATAGCTCAACGAAGTGGCTTATCATGTGGAAATTTATAGCAGCCAAATACTCTAAACGCACTTTGCCTCTAAATGAGGGAATAACCGGAGGACCCAGAGAAAAATTCCACACGTCCACGGGGAGAACATCTAAACTCCAAATACGCAGCAGCAGGCGTCAGGGTCGGGATCGAACCCACGACCTCCTGCATACCAGGCGAGGCAGTCAACATCTCCTAGCCACCGTGGCGACGCCGTGAAATAGCCAGTGATGGTGTTGGCGGCGTAACGTGCGGCCTTTTGCGCGCGCCTCTCATTTCTCCCCCGCGCCAGGACGGCTGTTTCTTGTGCTGCGGCGAGAGCCTCAGCAGCAAGGGCCCCACGTACATGAGCGGCTCCCTCTTCGACTACCGAAGCCCGGAGAACAACGGCGTCCGCGCCGAGTTCACCTTCGACCCCGACGCACACCGGGTATGGCCGCAGCGTGGGCTTGGAACGGACATTTTTACCCCCAACTCCCACCGCCGATTGGCCCACAGTGCTTTGCGTGACGCCGGAGATCGAGGTTTTTATTCAATTTTAAAAGTCAATAGGCCACTGATTTGAAACACTCACGCACGGGGAAAGTAAAAACGCGACCCACAAAAAAAAAACTGTTCAATAAACGAATAAGAGCCGGTCAGTGCGCTCCTCAGGGATAGTCAGTCGGTCTGTTTTAAATTACACTGTATTATCATTGCTGGCTTTGCCTAAGCCACGTGCAGTTACGCTGCCTGGATAAAAAAAAAACCTTTAGCGATGTACGCGCGCGTTGTCACAGTAAGAATGAGCCACCGCGCCCCGGTAACATTGAGACTCGCGCTGTCTGCGCGTTGAAGCCTTTATCCACTACAGTGCACGGTTTGTTGATAATCCGCGCAAGGTGACAATGGGAGGGGCGCGGGAGCCCGGCGCCCGCTTTGTTCTTCGTGAATCTTGTGACACAAAAAAAACATATTTCCCATGATGGGAACATCCCACGGGCGCGTATCACGGGTCTTCCCAGAATGGTCGAACAGCTGGACAACAGCCGCGATAAAAACAAAAAAAACAATGGTCAGGCAGACGACGATTTGTCAGACTGTGGCAGTAGACGGCTGAGACGGATTGTAATTGCAAACAGGTGTGCATGTGCCGGAGATCCTGTCGCAGGGCTTATTGTTGACGAATGCAGTCTGTTTCCACCCCCCCCCACCTCAAGAAGACTCGGATGTCCATAGCGTCACATCAACATTTCTGCAGCTTAAACCGTTGCGATTCCCTCTTTTTTTGTTGTTGTTGTTGTTGGTGGGCGTTTTTCCACATTCTTTGAAACGCAAGCTGATTTACGGAGGCTCTCGGGGAGTATTATTGAACGTGAAAAGTGACAACGTGCCAGTTGTCCTTTCCCCTTGTTTATTTGGCATCCAGCTTCAGCGCCGAAAAACTTTAAATACTTCGAATGGCACGGCCAAACCGTCGCCGCCGTTCCGACCACCCCTGACGCTGGCACGTCCGCGCGCGCCCAGCCCAATTTGACGTCGTCGTCGTCGTCGTCGCGCCGCCACGAGCCAAGCAGTTGTGCCTCGAGGTTAACCCCCCACACACACAAGGCCCGCTGATGTTGTACCTCTCGGACCCGAACGGCACTGCCAAGGCTGTTGCCGAGAGTCCACCCAAAGGGAGGGGGGGGGGGCCCTTCCTTGGTCTTGGGTAGCTCACACACAGTTTGGCGACTGACGAGCAGTCTGCAAACATGCAACAACAAAAAAAAGAGGCTGATTGAAAGAGTGTGAATTTTTTCACGTTTAACAACCTTTTTTTTTAGCATGATATTGCTTGGGTCTTTCGGTAAAGTCACGAAGATAGGTTCAAAGAAAATAACGAAAAAATAACAAACAACAAAAAAACTACGACGTTTCGATCGCAACACATCCTGATAACGAACGCTTGCGTTGCAATCGACTCGTCCATAATTTTTCGTAATTTTTTGTTATTTTCTTTGAACCTATCTACTTGACTTCACCAAAAGACCCAATAATATTAATTCCTACAGTCACGAAAGCTTTAAGTCAAGATTTATAATCATGGTAATGATTAGAAAGTCTTACGTGCACATCACTGTTGCTACTAAGTTCTGATTTTCATATTGGGGGGTGGGGGGGAAAGAGGAATTTATTACCACATTTTGGCAGAAACAAATATCTAAAAAGAAAACTGCTTCATTGCGGCAAAGTGCTGATGTTACGTTGCTTCTTCCTTTTACAAATATAACGCATGTGAGAGGCCTTGTCTCAGCATTTAGAGCATTCAGGGAAACAACAACAACAACAAAGATAATGAAGTGACAATAGTTCAATTGGAGAGAGGCTTCGCAAACGTTCAGGTAGCTGGGGTGTTTTGAGGCGGTTAATATAATAACACTTGTTCTCTGTGTTCATTCTCTATAAATCTGACCTTTCCATGCTTCAGCGGCAAAATGCCAATGTGAGAAGAGGTTTTCCCCTTTTTTCTGGCAACAAAACAGGTGTTGAGATGTTAAAACACCAAACTTAAGCCTTTTACAAGGAATCATGTCTGCATTAACCACAATACTTGTGGTCAGAATGCAAACAAAGATCATACTCTGATAATATATGCATTGTCTTTGAAACTGATTGGTCCACACCAGAGACAGTTTTCTTTTGAGCCTCGTCTCAAAACGGTGTTAGACCAGAGGACGCCAAACACCGTTTTTGACCACAAGTATTGTGGTTAATGCAGATATGATTCCTTGTAAAAGGTTTCTGTTTGGTGTTTTAACATCTTAACACCTGGTTTGTTGCCAGAAAAAAAGGGGAAAACCTATTCTCATATTTTGGTACTGGCAAAGGAGGTCCCATGATGAAAAATGCCAATGTGTTTTCTATTAGCTCACCCTTTTCTGCCACCAATAAAACGAAAATGCAAAGTTCGCTCTCTGGAAAAAAAAAAGTGCCATTATTACACCTACAATTTTGTGAAACAAATCCAACCGGGATATTTTTCCATCACGACGGCTGTGTTAGCGCGAGTCTTGCTGTAAAAAGGCAAGACATCCACCAGAAGGTGGATAGTGACTTGTGAGGACGCCCGCGCGCGTGCGTGATGTTTACCCTGGAGACGCATGCATCACTGAAACTAAACACAAATATTTAACTAAACAATTTTTTTTTTATTTTACCAGGTAAGGCCCACTGAGCTGTGTAGCTCTGTTTCAGAAGCGACCTGGCCATCGCAAATGACAGCTCAAGGAAGCGGCTCATCGCGTGCGAATGTAACAGCGGCCAACCACTCTAAAGCGCACGTTTCTCAATGTGGAGGGAAAAAAACTCGAAATACACAGCAGGCGTCAGGATCGGAAACGAACCCACGAACTCCCGTATACCAGGCGACGTAGTTAACATCTCGTCACCGTGATGATGAGAGAGAGAGACACGCAAACTCCAAATATACAGCAGGCGTCAGGGTCGAACCCACGTCCTCCTGCGTATACCAGGCAGGGTAGTTAACATCTCGCCACGGGGCCCTCGCACTTTTTTGCGCAGGAGACGTGCACGGAGACGGCGGGACTCCAGCGGTTTGGCGCCGCGTACCTTGACTACTTGTACACCATGGCCGTGGAGGAGAACAAAGGTACTGTGTCAGCGAGCAGGTGGTGCGACGGGAGAGCCATGCGCCCAATGCGATGACATTTAATTTAGCACCACAGCGACTTCACGATTGTGGGAACAAAAACAAACAAAAAACTTCCGCAGCCAAAACAGCGTTTGATGTCTCGGAGATGTGAGAGATCAAAAAATGAATTAGTTTCGCGCGTTGACAACTGACGGACGTTGGTTTCCCATGTTGTTTAGTATCTCAGTTATGAAACGAGCGCCTGAATAAACAGAATTAGAAAATTGTATTTTACGGTGCACTACTTTATTCCAACATTTTTCATAGCGTAATCACTCAAGGCGCCTTTCGCCGTTCTGACAAGGCTAACCCAATTATTTTATGATCAAGAAGCCCGTTTTTGCTCGGCCGTTGAAAACGTGGCATTATATAAATCATCCGCACGGCAGGTCACGACAAATCTCCCTCCCCCGCTCTCAGACGGGCGTTACAATTACGGGTAATTGTACATAATCCCTTCCCCCCACCTGACACACTGCTCTTACACGGTGTGGTTTTTTTGGGAAGATTTTCATTTGCAGCGGTGATTGTGGCCGGATTGAGGGCTTCATCACTCAGCCTTGCGTCTCTTGGGACGCCCACCTGCAGCTCACACCCGAATTTACGCCTCGCCGCAAAGCCGGCTCAACGCATGCTCAGCGGTCCCTGGGTGCCACCGAGCAATAACGCTCTTCCACAGTTTGGCTCCTAATTTGTACTGCTCCACACCATTATCTTTATTGGGTTAATCATTTTCAGCTATATTTGTCCCGTAATAATAATAGTAGTACTTCCCCCCCCCCCCCCCCGCACCCCCCCCCCTCCCCCCCCAAAAAAATCATCTTGGGGTTTGCAATTTACATTTTTCAGTATCACATGTCATTTGGCCTTTGTGCATGGCGCATTTAATGCGTTACATGTAGGGGAAAGGCTCCCCAACCTTTACACGTGCACATTTCAACATCACAACATTTGTAACGTCTCCATGGCCCGCCAGTGTGCACATTCTTGAGACGCAGAGAAAGGTGGTGGAGCAGGGCAAAGAGCAGCAGTGGCCTCTCCAAGGACCAACATGCAGGCTGCTTCACAGTGAATTGCAAGAAGTCGATGCTCCCTATATTCATTTGCCCGCTGCAATGCATTTTGGTGCCATGCGGCGCGCGCACGCAAGAAAAAAAAAGCGGGCGACAATGATATTTTCTCTTATGGGGATTTCAGTTTGGTTTACGCCAGAGGTGAGAAAAGTTTTTTTCTTCCCGAGTGCTGAATAGGGCTATTAAATTATTACGTTGCCGGCCCAAACGTAACACGTAACAACAACAACAATAACAGCCACCATTCGCCACTAACTGGTGGTGACGTCGCCACGGCGCTTGTGCCAGGCCAGGTGCACGTATAAACACCCTTCACACACATAGACACATCTTCGTTGCTTCTCTCACTGTAAGAAACTCTTGCGGTGACAAGAGTTGACTGGAACATTCTCAAGTGAGAGAAAACGGTCTTGCCGGGTCGAAAATATTCCCCTCAAGTACCCGATCAGTGTGCAGCCAATATTCTTGCAGTTGCGGATAAATATATAACTTGTGGTCGTTTTGAAGTGGCCTCACGCAGGCCGTATGCAGTGAAGTTGTGGGCCTGTATTGGTTCCGCTTGCCTCAGGTCCCCCCCACCGCTGGTTGACGCGAAATAATTTCTATTGACACTCCGTCCGTAGACTTTGGTTCCACTCGCGGACATGGATCTGGATTAGCTGTGAGATTTGCACGTTTATTCTCGCGGTATGGTTGCGTGCATTATTTTGGTTATTTTGGGCCAGGCTGCGGTGAATGTGGATACCCCACAGGGATGAGTGAAACTCAGCCGGGCAGAACACCGCGCGTTTTATCGTCTTAATGTTTTCGTTTTCACGCGGCGGTGGCCGCGGCGGGGCGGGGCTGGCGGCCGGTGTTTTCCTTTCCTCCAGTTGCTGGCGGCCCCTTGGAGGGAGCCCCTGGGAGGGCCGGCGACGGGCCCCGTCCCAGGGAATCGTCGCTCAAGCGCTTCGTGCTGGGCGCCGCCGAGCTGCGCCTCGATGCCAGCTCGGTGCATCGCGTCGCCAAGATGGTGGCCTGCGCGCTCGACCACGAGTACGAAGCCTACAGCAGCCCCGGGCCAGGCACGTATTGCCGCGCGTGCGCAAGGCGCCGTCTCACGCGGGCTGTCCGCGTTCGTCGTCGCGTTCAAAGAATCGATTCCGCGTGATTTTCAACGCAGATCCCGCCCACTTACCTCGTACGCACGCATGCGCGCGCGTATGTTGAACGTCTTTCGCACCCGTGCTAAGCCAGCCGTGCTAACATTCACAAGGGGACATTGGCAGAAAGCCCGGCATGCGATCGCGGAAATGCATACGTAGCAGTGTCTGTATGTCAATGTGGCGGGAGAGTTTCAGTATCGTTTACAGTGTACCTCGCAAACACGTAATTGTATTTTTCGATTTAAAGCTTTCGTGACTGCAAGGATTCATCTTCTTTGGTTCTTTCGGTAAAGTCACGTAGAATGAGAATAAAATAATAAAATAACACACTAAAATTCTCACGACGTTTCGGCCACAACACAAGTGGCCTTCTTCAGGTGAAAGTTCTTTCGGTAAAGTCACATAGAATGAGAATAAAATAATAAAATAAACCAATAAAAATTCTCACGACGTTTCGGCCACAACACAAGTGGCCTTCAGGTGAAAGGAACCTGAAGAAGGCCACTTGTGTTGTGGCCGAAACGTCGTGAGAATTTTTATTGTTTTATTTTATTATTTTATTCTCATTCTACGTGACTTTACCGAAAGAACCAAAGAAGACGTAATTGTATCTTTCACGTTTTATTGTCTGCGTGATTAAGTGGTATACTTTTTGGTGTTTTTTGCGCATATCCCCTCTTAATTAAGCCCAGTGTTTGTATCACCACACCCCTATATGTCCCGAACAAGCACCTGATCGCCGATCCCACGAAATAACTTTTGGACTTTAATCTCTACCTCCGAACCAATGGTCCACTTGAAAATCGAACCCGCGCGTCAAACGGTAGATCCCACAGGTGCCCTCACGCGTGGGAAATCTCGGGAATCCTGGCGTTCGATTGCAGAAAACCTGGTCGGACCATCGACCACAGAGTCTTGGGCCACTGTGAAAAATTCAACAAAAAGTAATTGCCCTCGCACCAACTAAAGCGAATCCCTGGTGAACTAAATTGGACGTCGACTTGCGAACGGGTTTTCATCGAGTCATGCGCATGAGAACGATTGTCATCATAATTGTCGTCATCGTTGGCATTGTCATCGTCAGTTGTTTATCTGCTTGCGCCTTTCACACTGAATATGCGATGGGCACCATGCATCAACTATATTACGTGAGGCGTGCGAATGTTCTTGTGTATAACGTGCAATCGCTAACCAGTTGGCCTGTAGCAGTTTCTTGAAATTAATTAGTTAGGCTCGGATAAGTAAGCGGTGGTATCAGTCACCGTTGCTGTTGTGCAGCTCGCACAATTTAACCCCCCTGAGTGCATGACGTTCGTTGGCTGCTGCTTCATCTGTGGTAGAAATTGCAATCGCGTGCTTGCATGCGCGAACAGAGAGAGGCTTGCATTGTGTTTGCGCGCGTGACATTAGACACTCCAAACACGACGTTGTTGTAGATTTGAATATGCACTCCACAGGGCTCAGACTGAATCATCCCACACTTTCAGGGGGTGCTAATTTTATTCCAGCACATTTAATGCTGCAAAGCAATCCTTCAATGTCACGGACCAAACGCGCCAGCAGCATGCACTGCCGATGCCCAATGTTAACTCATTTTGTTCCAACGTTGCAGAGTTCGGGATTGGGCCCTTCTGATATAAAACACAACAAATAAAAGCCACTTCACGAAAATCTTCTTGGCGCATTCCGCCCGGTGACTCACAGGGCTCCTTTAATGGTTGTGCAGTGTTTGTGCGGGACAGACCCCCCCCCCCCCCCCCCCCCCCCCTCTGAGTCTGGAACCGCTTTTCTGCAGCTGCCAAGGCGGTGCCGGCTCTGTCCGTTTATCACAACCGCTGGCGATGCCAGCACTTGTGAGAGTGTGAACGTCAAGAAGCATAAGCGTTGAGGTGGCTGGGGCGACTCGGGCGCTACGGACCGCTTTTCCAGTGCCGCCACGCTCCTGGGTTTCAATGCCCAGTATTCGTCTGCGTGTGACGAATCCCAGGGTTGCCCGAGTGTGTGTGGCGAGTTGACGATCACGAGCCTGGACTCCGGTGCCCGTGCAAAAAAAAAAATCCCATTGTAAATTATTGTTTTTGTGTAACATTTCCAAACTGTGAAAATTGGATGTAACTCCAGTTTGACCGCAGTGTCGCAGGGCGTGTAAGGAATCGCGGCGCCCTTGGCATTTATAAGGAAATCACTCGAACGGAATCGCAGAAGTATGCCTATATCTCCTTCCGCAAGCCATTATCCTAGCAGGGTCATGCACTGCACCAGACATGTCCCGGTGTCACGACATGGTGTAAGTTGCACAATTGATGGAACATTTGGGGCAAATGAGGAAAGAAAAAAATATATAATTCTGAAAAGTGTTTTTTTTTTTTTAATAAACATATCTACATCGCCAGTTGTGAACGTCTTGCCTGGGAGCGCCGGGATTTGAATCGAGCAGCTACACGTTCTCCCCCACGAGTGTACCGAGTTTTCCAGCTGTGGCGAGCGTTCGACGTCGGGCACCTTGATGCTGCTTATCAACTTCGGCACTTGTGCACGCACGCAAGAGCTCGACGTTCGTTGCAGAAGCTCCCCGGCATGCGGTGCGAAAAGTCGGACATCACGGGGAGCTGTACATTACAATTGCAAAAAACCTACGCAATTGTTCTCAACCTTCTCACTCCATTTCTATGGCAATGCCCAGTCTTTGCACTGCGCTTACGAACCCGGCGACCTGAGTTCAATTCCCGCTCACGGCCAACACCAGCGACAATTATCTGAACCGGTCCTGGGCCTCCCCTAGGTGGACTCAGCCTTAAATGAGTACCTTGTGCGGTGTGTAAACATCGCCAGTGGGGAGACAAAGGCGGCCGGGCGTGGTCCTGGCCACCCACCCCCTCGTGTGCTGTGCTGGCATTCATAGGTGCTCGCTAACAGCACCTGCCGCAAGTCTGTTCAGGCTATACAGGGTATCTTTGTCTTTGTGTGGAGGTGACTAGCGTAGCGTAAAGCACGCTGCGCTATGAACCTGGCGACCAGAATTTGTTTCCTGATCACGGCCAACACCCGTGATGATTAACTGAACCGGTTCTGGGCCTCCCCACGCTCCACTCCGCCTCAAATGAGTACCCTGGTGTGTGTGGTGTGTGAAGAGAAAGGTGCCCGTGGATGGTGCTGGCTGGCCACCCTCTCCTTCGTGCGCTGTACCGGATTTCATAGGTGCTCGCCAGCGGCACTTGCCCGAACAGCCTTTCAAAGGCTATACGAGGGGGGGTATCTTTGTCTTTGGTCGCGTGAGGGATGCTATTCTCGTCATCGGTGGCTGCAGAGCTGGTGGAGGAGGCACGGGTGCCACCCAGCCCCGAGGAGGTGGCCTCCCTGGAGGAGTTCATCCCAGTCCGCACCACCTGCCTCACCGTCCTGAGCGTCAGCCTCACCATGCCCATCGCAGAGTTCAACCTCCTTGACAGAATCTTCCCGCAGTACTTCTCGGGCCAGGTAACTGCGCGTTCACGCCCGGTTTCATGGAGGGACTGCGTGTTGTCTCGGCGGGGTCTGGGACTGTTTTTTGTTGTTCTTTTTGATGCCTTGCCCAAGCTTGGGAATTGGTGTACTTACACAATTTGAACTTACATACTTGATCTCTTTTACGCATTTATTTTTAATGACTTGCTTACCTTTCCCTTACTTTGCACCCCTGTCATTATTTTTTTGCATCGTTTGTTGTAACTTTCTGACCCGCCACTCCTACTGGACATCTGTGAAAGAGAGCTCCGTAGCTCATCGGATTCATCCTGGATAAAAGCAGATTCTGATTCTGAGCCCCCCTTCACACGCGAGTGCTCGGACATAGATTTTCCCCGAGTCGTTTTTTCTTCTCTTTCTCTCGCGAGTGGCCTCCAGGGTCACTTCACGGCGAGGTCACACGGCAATTTCTTAACTCTAGGTAAAGTGCGTCAATCTAAATTCACTCTGTTGCCCACCAGCTGCTTTTATATTTTCCCAAATGAAATACAACGGGTGTATTTTAAAACAAAAGGGGGTGGTGGTGGGAGGCCTTCACGAAATGCAATAAATAAATAGTGAACTGCGAATAATTTGACCATCCGCAGAGTGACATAAAAAGAGGTACCGACGTGAACGAAAGGCGAATAAAACCCAGCATTGCCTCGGAAAATAAAAAAAATAAAAAATCTGCAGAGTGGAAGCAGTCCTTACCCTGGCAGGCTGTTGTGCCAAAGTGTGCAGCTGCAAAAGAGCCAAAGTATTAGTCACAGGAGGCAATTGTGGTGTACATACTCAGCATGCGAAAACATACAGAATAATCAGGGGCGGAGGTGGGGGGGGTCCGGCTCGTGTGCGGGATTGCATGCAGCCGAGATTGTACTGTACTCCACCAATGGACAGCCACGGCTGTACGATGAACACGGCTCTCCTGCGGAGGTTTTGGAACCGTCCGAAACCACATGTGCTTTGATGTGAAGTTGCAAGCGCAGTGTACGTGCCAGCTCCCAGAAACACCTCCCCGAAGGGCACGCATGCGTTTGTTTGAGTCTCGCTGCCTTCGGTTGCTAAGAATTTCTCGAGTTGTTGGTGCCATGCTTAGGTTCCCAAAAAAATAAACCATCCCAGTTTCCCAGCTTTTTTTTTTTTTGCTTGGGGCTGACGATTGCCTGATTTATAATCACGGCCCCTGTTAAGTCTCGGCGTGTAAAAATAAAAGGCATCTAAAAACGACCTCTTGTCTTGCCGGACAAACATGCAAATGTTGTTACAGCGACCGCAAATGCCGTTTTATTTATGCCCTGTGGTTTTCACATCTGCAAATCCCTTTTTAAAGCAACACGACTTTTTATTGCCGCAGTCTTAAATGTGTATACCCATATTGCTGTTACAGAAAACGCAATGACAATCTTATATTAAATGTTTCAAAAGTCCTTTGCAATTCAACAAGAACTATTATTTCATAATTGTGCTTGCCAAATCTGCCTACTGCCTTCAATCAGTTTTGACCTGTCACTTTGAGGTGAATGGAGTGTGGGCGTGTCTGCGTCACTCTAGCATTAAGAATAGGTCGAGGAAAACCAGCAAAAATGATGAGAACGCTTGAAGAAACAAACATAATCTCGCTTAATATGCTATCTCAAATGTCTCTCAACGTGCGTGATATTGTCGTTTTCATACGAATGACTAAAAGCAATGGCGCATCGATAAAATAGTTGCTGACGGCCGCATATTTATTTCATTACGAGCATTTGCTTTGGAGATTACGTGGGTCGGTTAGGCAGGTAAAATGTAGCAGGTTTTGATGGCTGTTTATTTTCATTTGTCGGGAAACGTCGATGCAAAGTGGCAACGTTAGCTCAAGGTATTTGGCTTGGTTTTGAAAATGCATCCGCGTGCACTGTACTACTTACAAAAAATAAATCTCTCACAACGCATAGACACACACATACACAAAGACAAAAAAAGACTAAGACCCCCCGTGTAGCCTTAACAGACTTTCGAGGCAAGTGCTGTTAGCAAGCACCTACGAAGGCCGGCACTGCACACAAGGGGATTCTTGGCCAGCACCATGCCAAGTGGCGAAGTTTACACACCACAGCAGGTACTCATTTGAGACTGAGTCGACCTAGGGGAGGACCAGGACTGGTTCAGATAATCATCACTGGCGTTGGCTGTGGGCGGGAATCAAATTCTGGTAGTTGGGTTCGTAGCGCAGCGCGCTTACCGCTACACAACCGCTCCGCACAAAGACATACACACACAGGCACACACACACAACATACAAAGTCAAATGAAATTGAGAACATGGAGCCATACAATTTTGGAACGTTAATGAAATAGTAATACAGAAAATTTATTAGATTCTCCCTCCTTTACTATTTAATTATGCTTAAACATATACTCACTGTTGGTTAGGCCTATAAAGGGCCTCCAGAAAAATGGTTAAATATATCCTACATCTTTACTCAGAAAGTTGAAGTGTCTTCCACTCCTATGGCATCAGCAAGCATATACTCATCGGAAAACACCTTTCACTTTGACTGGCGTGGTAAAATATACATATCAAAAACTCAAATCAGCTCATAGATTATAAAATTACTCCTTGCATGAGTGTTTTTTTCTTGAAGGATTATAATATTCATATCATTTGGTCTTGTGAAAGATGATGTATCCCTATTCGGATGAGTTACCTAAATGTGGAGTGTTAAAACAATTTGGCTGTCCGTCACAGGCTATTTAACCACCTTCCCATACAAACAGAGAAAATCACCATGGACCCTCGCTATGCCAGTGCTAATGAGCTGCACACCAGCAGGCAGCTCTTGCTGGCAACGGTTCCGTAAGCGAGCCTGCCGTGTGGGGCAATTGGGGAGCCCCTCAATCATCCGATCACACGAGGCTTCCACGTGGGGCCCAGACACAATGCAAGGCGAGCGGCAAGGCAAGGTGGATTCGTAATTGAACAAAAACAGATCCGTTTAACAACCGCCCTGGCCGTGAATCAGTCAGAAATGAGCCTGGCTGTGCGGCGTTGCGTTTTTTTTCTTTCTTTCCCTCTCCTCCCCCCGACCGGGCCTGACGAGCGCAGGTGGGCGCGGGTGCCCTCGGGGCCAAGCCTCCGGCGTTGCGCGCCCTGCCTGCGCTCGCGTTGCACGTGGACCGCGTCAACGTGGAGCACTGCACCCCCATGTACCCGCGCCGCCTCGCCAGGACGCTCAGCAGCCTGTCGCAGCCCTCACGGAGCCTCCTGCACCACTGCTACGTGCACTGCTACCTCAAGGTACCGCCGTCGCCGGTGCGGCCGGTGCGGTGCCACGGCAGACACGGACGCGAAGTCGAATTCGAGGTCAAGGCACAGCGTATCACCGGATGTTGATGCGGCACTCGTTGGTAGGCGAGATGTTAACTACCTCGCCTGGTGTACAGGAGGTCGTGGGTTCGATCCTGACCCTGATGCCTGTATATTTGGAATTTGCGTGTTCTCCCCGTGGTCGTGTGGATTTTTCTCCGGGTCCTCCGGGTTTTCCCTCCACATTTAGAAAACACGCGTTTTAAAGTATTTGGCTTCTACACATGTCCACATGGTAAGCCACTTTGTTGAGTTATATTTTTTGACCTGGTCGCTTCTGAAAAAGAGCTATATAGCTCAGTGGGCCTTGCCTGGTAAAATAACAAAAATAGGTTAAAAGTCTTTGTTGGTGGCCCAGAGTTAGCGCAAGAAATTCCACGTTCCCGTGGTACTGCTGCCTAGGAGCTTCTTCAGCACGTGGATCAAAACGTTGGACAATGTGCCGAATAACAAGCGTCACAGCCCAAAAACACATTGGAGAGCAGCACATTCCCAAGGCGCTGGCAAATGGGTTCGTAGTATATCCACCATTTGACTTCATATAAAGTGGTAGCAAATGTATCAGTCCTATTCAGATTAACGGCCGAGTTGATTCCTAACTGGGATGTTTTAATTGCAACCGTTTGTGAGCTAAGCACCCGTAGCATCTAACGATTCGGCCATTTATTGATGCAGTGATGTGTATATTTAAATTCGAGACCGTTTTTTTTTCTCTGTAAGTGTTAATGTAGCACCTCTAGTGGTTTGCAGAGGTAACCTGAATGTACACAAATAATTATATAATTAAAGCAAATTCTTGTGTAAGTGATTGAATGCATGCATCACGAGCGTAACAAGCAATCTTAATAAATTAATCTGTGCATTGTCAAACTCCTAAAAATATATATTTTCCTAAGGCATAGGATGATGACTTGTTGACTTCTTACAAAGTGTAAGTAATTTTACGTGCCCCAGAAGGATAGCAATATCTTTGTCTTGTCAGTTGAAACTTTCCGATTGTGAGTTGAATGTTGTGGCCGGTATTTTGTTTACCATTAAGCTGCATTGAAGGATCGGTTGATTCATCGATATGTATGTTAAAGCTCACGATGTGTACATTGAATCGCGGTACGTTTACAACGACCATTGTGCTTTGATTTGAAGATGTTGACTCCCTACGTGCACTCGAGACCACCGCATTCACCACGTTGTTAGGAAATGATCGATTCTTCAATGGAATCGTGATCATCAAATGCGACCTTTCATTGGAACATGAGGAGGCAAATGGTTGCACCCCGAGCGTTTACGGCAACGTGATTTTCACGTGACCGAATCACACAGAATGCAGCCGACCCCATAGGATCTTTGACACGAAGCAGGGCTGAGCCTGGATAGGGCTTGGATGGGCGAGCACAGACGCCGTCGATAGAAGGCGGTGCAGCAACAACAATCAGTTGTACTGTATTATGTTTCACTATCTGTGCTCACAGCCTTCGCCAACCGGCACTCACCGGCATGGTGAAGTATAGTCAAATAACCCCACGAGTTTACAAGGCAGAGTGGGGATGCCCCTTAATTTTAACTGTGGATTGGTAAATAGAGCAATAGCTGTACAAGTACCGTAATTGAAAGGCATGCTTATTTTTAAGACGAAATGTACGTAACACTTTCTCCGCAAAGTGTATTGTCAACAACAACCTCAACCGCCATTTGCCACTTAGTGGCTGTGACGTCCCCACAGCGCGTGTGCCAGGCTATGTGCTATAGTATCATCGAACACAAAGACAAAGATCCCCCGTATAGCCTTAACAGATAGTTAGGGCAAGTGTTTTTAGCGAGCACCTATGAAGGTTGGCATGGTACACGAGGTGGTGGGTGGCCAACACCATGCCCTGCCGCCTTTGTTTCCTGAGTGGTGATGTTTACACACCACACCAAGTACTCATTTGAGGCTAAGTCGACCTAGGGTTGGCCCAGAACCGGTTCAGATAATTGTCAGTGATGTTGGCCGCGAGCGGGAATCGAACTCGGGTCGCCCGGCTCGTAGTGCAGCGTGCTAACCGCTCCCCTATATTGTCATCGGACACACACACACACACACATGCATGCACACGCACACACACATGGTGCTTACGGGACACACGCGCGCACCTGTACACCCCCCCACCCCACGCACAGCTCTGCCAAGCGATATCCCATGAGCAGGCGTAGCGAGAGCGCAGCCATGACTCACGTGAGGTACAAGGAATGCGATCGTTACCGGGACGCACCCCTTGGCTTGCAGCGTTCGCACGTTGAGCGCTGCTCGGCGGTCTCATCCCTCAGGTGTTCGGACTGAGAGCCGATCTCGTTTGCCTGAACGCGTCCTTGGCTCACCCGCCCGTGCCCATCATCCCAGCCTTCAGTCCAGCCCTGTACATCAAGCTGCTGCAGCTGCCCATGTACTGGTAGGCGATTCACCTGCTCCATTCTTGGGGCGTTATGCCATTCATTCCTACACGCAGCCATATACATGGTGCTCCAAAAGTCAGGACACATTGGGGTTATTGTATTCATTTTAACAAATCACATCGGGTTATTTAATTCATTTTAAGAAATATTTAACTGACTTCTATTACTATGAAGGTGTGCACGCATTCCCTTTTGAAATTAATTTAGAACTTTTTTTTTAAGATCTTTGAACATTCATCAATTATATTTTGTCTAAATTCATTGAGGGTTCTTGGTCGAGTTTTATAAGTGATGGATTTAAGATGACCTCACATGAAGAAGAAAAAAATATATTAATAATGAAAATGGATAAATATTAACTTACATAATAAAACATTTAAATGTTTTAACGCACGTGTTAAAATAAATAAAATAACCCTATATGTCCTGACTTTTGGGCCACCTTGTATATATAAATATATATTTTTTAAATCTACTTTTTTCTTGTAATAAAATCATACTTTTTTTGCCAATCATTAATTAGGAAAAACATGCACGAAAACAAATTTAATTCTAATGCCGTTTCTAAATGATGAGAAACTAATTAGATGGAAAAATTGCACGCAGTCCAGGGTAACGAATATCAGCGATGTTACCGCAAGTAAGAAGTGATTTTTATCGACATTGAAAGGCGCGATTGTGGCCATAGATCTGTCCTCCCCATCGTGCCTTGCATGTCACACGGCCACATCAAAAAGAGTCAGTTGTGGCCATATCACTTTAGACGGCAGTCACAGCAGGCCAATGAGACAACAGTGTACGAGTTTCCGCTTGCCTCGCTGTGATATAGACGGCCATGAGTGAGTGAGTGAGCGACTGGCGGGGCGACTGATGTAAAGTTAATGTATGCATGTGTAGTGGCATAGAATTGGACACTGCGTAGCATAGAGCTGGTTGCTGGCAGAGAAGGGGATCTGCAGTTGCAGCAGCCCTGTCTGACAGCAGGTCACGTGATAAACCAGAGAGAGGGTTGTAGGGGAAAGGTTACAGAGGGGGCACGTGGGGGAAGCGCGGGAACCTGCTAGTAGGTTCTAGAAAGGGGGGGCGTGGCCGGGGCGAAGCGAGGCCACGCTGGGAGGATAAAAGGGGACCCCGAGCGGGAGCTCGGGGCTGTCGCCTGGAGCGGGATCCCCTCGTCGTGCTGCTGGAGTCTCCGTCTTCACCTTCTCGGCGTCGTCAGTTAGGCAGTCTGCCAGCTGTCCTGACAGGGAGCTGTAGTTGCTTTGTGTGGACTGTGAAGGCTGTTAATAAATAGAGTGCCTCCTACTCCTAGTATCTCTGAGTCAGTCACTACACATGTATGCATGTATGTTGAACTTCTTTCGCACCATACATAGCCAACCGTGCTTCTCGGAGGTGCGGGATTATGTTCCCTAAACACTATCAAAGTGAAACTTGGCACAAATATAACCAATATATTGATAAGAATATTTTGAAAACAAATAATATTTGTATTTTTTATTTTATTTTGGATCCCGTACATTTTGTCGGGAGCACATTTAACATCTTTGAGCATAGGCCTATGAAAGTTTGTTTCTGGATGTTTTTAAGAGTGCTGCGTCCAAATAAAACAAAATAATTGGCGACACCGTGTTGGCTGTGTTGAATTCAAATATGACATCATATCTTTTTCAAATCTAATTTTTTATGTACATTTTTTTAAGCGCCTGACACGAAAGTTGATAGAAAGTGGCCTTTGCTTACCTCAAACTCGTGAACATATAACATATATAACACATAATAACACATAACAAACTCGTGAACATATAACAACTGCAGAACCTTATTGGGTAGCTCTTAAAACATGTTTTTACCATATTGTACATTATTTTATGAAGGAAGAATTACACTTTTCCATATTTTCCCAGCGGTCAAAATGTAACCATAGAAGGCCTGCATTGAAACCTATTTAGTCGTGCAGCTAATTTTTGTTGCCGTTTCCCCCCCCCCCCCAAAAAAACAGTGTTGCTTTAGGTTAAATCGTTCTGAAAGTGGCCCATATGAATCTCTGGTGTTCTGAGAAGTGCCGGTACGGAATTCCGTCATAAACCACTGTACCCACATCATCCTGTAATAACGTTCGGAGGTACAGTTGTTAAAAAAAGGTTTTTAAACTGACGAAGTTGAAATGTACAACTGATGTTTGTAATTACGGCTTTACACGCGTTTTTTAATTTTGGAAAGCGTTTACCATTGTGCGTACGGATCTGTTCAGTCGTTGGCGTCAAAATATCTTCACCGCGGCTCTATACATGACTCCAGCTGCAGTTTTGCAGGGAAGGTCGAAAAGGAGGAGTAAGCGGTTTCGGTTGGATGGACAAAACGAATGACCCCACTCGATGTGCACGTCAGTGTTTCAGGAACTTTTGTGCTCTTTTATAAACGTGGAGAGGATTCCGTCAGATGTGTATGGATAGTGTTGTGGATGGGCAATTTGCCGATGTAATCTGCTTTCCGTTATGGAAGAGAGCGCGCTTGTGTATTTATATGACCATTAATCACGGTTAATATAATAGGACCAGAGAGAGTAAAAAGTTGGTAATAAAATACGGAACTAAGGTTCATAGGAAGTCTGCTCGTGTAGTAGAAAGTCGTACACCGGATATCAGTTGCATCTTTCAAGGTAGTCCGTTATTTTATCATTTTTCTTGTACAGCAAACATTCGAATTGGACTTGACCCATTCTCCACTAAAAACCATTCATCACTTTAAGTTTTAATTCCAGCTGAGAAAACATGTATTATTCGGCAAGTGACTCCTTATAATTTAAGCTTATAACACGGCACTCATCCCTTGGCCCGTGGGCTGCCAAGCTTGCCCAAGTGGCCAAATTATATTGCAGTGAGTTTCAGCAAATTGTAAGCACCGTTTTGTCGATTGTTTTCCTTTCCATAAATTACGTGCGTTTTATCGGCTGTAATTTGGAATAAAAAAAAAGATTGGGAGTCGCAGATGCTGCTTTAGTGGTGTCTCTTTCCTATGCTGCAGTAACCAAGCTTTGGCACGTTTTACATGGCATCAGCTTGTTGTTCGCTGTGGTGGGAATCGGGGTTGATATTTGGATTGGCTGTGGTTTGTTTGTGCATTGCGATTGAGCAGAAAGAGGCCCACAGGCAGCGGATGACCATGTGGGATGGAAACTTGGTCCCTGGTTTTAATGGGTGAGGTCATGCTTCGCATGGACAGCACAAGGCAGGAGGACCTCCCAGCCTAGGTGGCTGGGTGGCTCTGAGGACTTGTGCTTCCGTGAAGGTCGCTGAGCCAGCACCTCTGAGAAATCTGGGTTCTAGTCCAGGCAAGCATCTGTGATTAAACCAGGTTCCTGAGTGTAGTGAGTTAACATTCTGGAACATGCCACAGATGCCAGCAACCCACAAAAAAAATCACGATATTTGGTTTGGGTTTATCTCTTAATTGGAGTTGATTACGGCTCTGAGAATAGAAAAAATATATTTGTTTGATTGCTTATGCCAAACACTCTTTCGGGCATATAAATTGCATGCTTCAAGTGTTGATGAAGAGGCCATTCTCCGATACATGGTCATGCATTATTTATCTGAAGCTTGTGGCCAAAGTGGAATATTATTTTAAGAAAACATCAACAATGACTGCAGCCTCCTTGAGTAAATTTAACAGACGCTCACATGGGAAGACAGTAGTGTTTGGTGCCTTAACAACCCAAACTACATTTTTGATTTAAAGCTTTCGTGACTGCATTAATTCATATTCTTAGCTCTTTCGGTAAAGTCACGTTGAAGGGAAACAATAAAATAATAAAATATATAAAACAATAAAAATCCTCACGACGTTTCGACCATAACACAAACGGTCGTCATCACTTCTTTCAAATGTTTTGTTGCCGTTGCTTTTCACACCTGATGACGACCGTTTGTGTTATGGTCGAAACGTCGTGATAATTTGTATTGTTTTATATATTTTATAATTTTATTGTTTCCCTTCAACGTGACTTTACCGAAAGAGCTAAGAATATGAACCCAAACTACATCGATGCAAAGTTCAAGTTGATTTGTTTGACCAGGTGTAAATGTGAAAAGAGTGACCAGGACAGTCTCATTTGCGAAAGTGACCCAGTTAGAACATTCCGAGCCATGTGCCTGCTGCATCGGGCACTGCGTAGTCCACACAATTCTTAAACATAAGATGATAATTTAATTGCACACTTTGCCCGCTTAAATTTAAACATTTAATAAAAGAAAAACCCATTCACCTTTGCCAGGAGATTGATGATAATAATGTATGACTAGGACATCTTGAATTATCTTGAAATTATATTTGGTGCAAGAGGTCAGTTTTTTAAGGACAATATCATCATTACAGGTGTTATGTGACAGAAAATATACTCTGCCTTGTTGAAAATATACTGAGGTAATGTTGACGGCACTTGATGCATCGTGGGTACTTACCATTGTTGACAAAATCTGGTGAGAGGACGCAGAATTAACGATGTTTAAAAGTACATGGCAAGGCTTTAAGCCATTTTCATCTGCTGCATATTTCAAGCAGATGCGTGTAGCCTGTGGACATGCATCGTCAGAAACCACATTTCATATATATTTAAAAATCCCTTTATTGTAAATCTATTTCATATGGCGAAGTGTACTGGATTGACGATGTGCTATTAGAGATTGTTTCACTAGCTTGATAATATTTCTCAAGCTGAAAGTGCAAACAAAGCAAAGAGTAATTTTCATATATATTCCGTCCGTATCAAGCATTGGCTACGGGCAAGCTGAGAACAATGTTTATTCAACCACGTTCATTATTCATGCAACAAAGTTAAGCCGCTCTATTTTTACGGCTAAATTTCTAGAGATGTTTTCGCAATAATCAGTAGAAAAAAAAAACGAAATTACAGCAATTTTTAAATGAATCTTTTTAAGGAGGAAAAAAATATACGCACGTTACAACCTTTCTACAGACGGAGCTCTTCATTAAAGGCCGGCTATTTGGCTCTGCAGAGAATCAGCGAATGTATTTTTTTCTTTGGCAGGGCCAAGAAGGTCATGCTGCCTGTGACAGAGGGCATCTTTGAGCTGCCCAGTCTGTCGCTGAGGGCCACGCGAGCCCAGACGCGTCTGCTCGAGGCCATCGCACACAGCTGGAGCCCGGAAGGGGCAGCCCGAGGAGCGGCGGAAGAGACGCTCCTTCACGACGCCTTCGCTCACGCACGTATGTACACGCGTCGCCTCTTTTATTTTTTTTGTCACGCCATTTAGCAATCGTCAAGGCATTAGCTCCGTCCGTCTGTGTAATGTACGTGTGTACGTTGAAGTTCTGTCGCGCCGTGCGTAGCCAACCGCGCTCATCGGAGGTGCGGGGGATGAAAAACAAACTAAACAAAGAAGCCACTCTAAAGAAATGTTTTTTTTTTAAATATAGATGATTGCTCCAGTGGCTTTTTAGCATCAGAAGGAGGAAGAGCGTTCCAGACAGGCGCAGAAGCGCATCTGAAAAAGCACGATGCGGTGACCATCTTTGTGGGGAGGCAGGATAATTCCCAAGTGACTTGCGCGATAGAAGGCCAGTCACATTGATCTGTGCTGAAATGAAGTGCACTCCTCTCCTGCTGATGTCATTGCCACGTGTGCAGTCGTGTTGCGACGTCGTGTCGTTGTTCGGCTTTGGAACGTGAAGTCATGTTGCGACGTCGTGCCGTTGTTCGGCTCTGAAAGGTGACGTCATGTTGCGACGTCGTGCCGTTGTTCGGCTTTGAAAGGTGACGTCATGTTGCGACGTCGTGCCGTTGTTCGGCTTTGGAACGTGAAGTCATGTTGCGACGTCGTGCTGTTGTTCGGCTTTGAAAGGTGACGTCATGTTGCGACGTCGTGCTGTTGTTCGGCTTTGAAAGGTGACGTCATGTTGCGACGTCGTGCCGTTGTTCGGCTTTGGAGCGTGACGTCATGTTGCGACGTCGTGCCGTTGTTCGGCTTTGAAAGGTGACGTAATGTTGCGACGTCGTGCCGTTGTTCGGCTCTGAAACGTGATGCCATCATTGATTGTACCAAATACTTCCGAGGGCAAATGCATGTTGGAGACCATTACAGAAGCCATGCGTATGTGTGATTTTTCTTCCCTCTTAGAATATAAAACAAACGTGTCTGTTTATCATTCATTCTTGATCTCAGGACGTTTACATCGCGTGAAAATCTTATTATTTTCCCTTGGTAGACCTTGTATGCAGTGGGTTCATGCAATGGGTTCACTGCAGTAGTGAAAAACGCAGATTCTTAAGTCGACCCGTTACTCTAATTTGTGGTAATTCATTCAATCGCAGGGGAAGGGAATAGTTACAGGTTGAATCCAGTGAAATCGCTACATTTATTAGGCCTGCAACATTCACCCCCTCGGCAATTTTGATGATTTGTCACGATTCAGGGTCACACTTCAACTTAAGTAATGGTACTTTTTTTATTTAATTTGTTCCATCTCATTTGTAAAAAAAATTCTCACTTATTGTAGTCTCCTTTTTTTATTTGGTTCGCTCCCGTGGCCAAAGCGTAACATTAGCATAGAAGCTTGAAGTCATTTGCATTATTTTTTAAATAACAAATTCTCACACGCTTCACGGGTTTATTTCATTGACTTTGATCGCTGCACCATAACACGACCATTGTGCACCTTGCTCGTGAATTGGCAACGTTCAAGGCGGGGCTTTTTCATAACCACACCGTGGTAATGTCGGCGAGAAATCCTCTTTTGAGTCGCGCTCAGGACAGTCGGCAGTGCAGCATGTAGGTCGTTGAACCGCGTGAGTTGTGGTGGTTTTGAACCCTCTGAATGTGTGGCTTTTCTCCGTGCGCTTCTGCTCTCTCGCGTGCACGGCGAGTCAAAATGAAACAACCCTCCAAAGCAGGAACACTCCGAAAAACGAATCTCAAGGTGCGGCGATGTTGTGGTGTTCACGCATCACGAGTGATCGCACGGAGATACACGCCGAGTAAGCAAATTAAATCATTTGCTGTTCACGGATTTATTCTACGTGTATTTAATGTCATTTAATTATGGGTACAACAACATCAACAGCCTCCGTTCACGGCGAAATCACGGTGATGTCACCACAGCGCTTGTGCCAGGCTAGAATGCACTTTGAGGTACGAATACGTTTTGAGCAGGGAGCGGTGGGGCAGTGGTTAGCGCACTGCTCCATGAACCCGGTGACCTGAGTTTAATACCCGGCCGTGGCTGACATCAGTGGTGAGTCAAATCTGAACGTGTCCTTGGAAGCCCCTCTCACCTTCACCTACTCGCACTGACCAGCCTGGAAACCCTCCTAACTTACACGGCATGAGGAGACCATCGAGCACTGGATTGGCAAAGGGCTGTACATATTTTTGTTAAAACAGTGCACAAATTATTCGTCGTCATATTCAACAGAGCAGCCAGTCAGAACAGAGATAAATAAAGACCATGCCATTTTCGAACAAGCACCTTCATATTTCTCAGTTGCATTGGCGTATGTTGATTTAACTTCAAAGTGTGTGTGAGTGTGTATATCCTAGCTGTGTGTCTAACATTACACTAGCCAGGTGGTGCTCTGTGTAGTTAATTGAAATGCGTGTTGGCAGCGGCTGGTAAAGTTAATGAAGGAAAGACATCGAGGACTGAACAGAACATGGAACTGAACTGTAACCGCATGCCAATTCACAGTAGACAATTGAATGCGAACAATACACTTGAGTTGCAATGTTATACTCGGTTATGTTATTGTTTGACATTTAATGGACAGACAATTATGTTCTCATAGTTGGGAGAGAAAAAAATGTTACGTGCGCCTATTCATATTTTACGTTACTCATACCTGCTGAAGTTTCACTTTCTTTTTCGATTATGAATACCTGGCTGGGCCAATTTTTCACGAGAAAATTACATTAAAAAAACTATAAAATTAGTGTTACCTTACACTCAGGACATTAAAATTGGTAGAATATCATTTCCTCCTCTAATGAATATTTTACATCTTCTGTTGAAAACAAATTTGATTTATATTTTAACGTCTGTTCATTTCTCTGTTTTTTTTAAATTGTATAACGTAACTACAGATTATATATCTGGAAAAGATTCAAATAACACGCACACTGTAAATGTAACGAAGAACATTTTTTTTTCATGAAAAGATTTTCAGGACTTTGCAATAACAATGATTAATGGTTCATTCACTGTCCCATATGTTTACATTTTACACTCTGCGAGGCCCGCAGTTAATAGTGTTAAACCTCAACCCTAAGATGGATGCTGCAATTTTGGAGAAAAATGCAAGTTCTGTTTTTTGCAGCAGGTTAAAACAGTATGGGCACTTTCAAGGAATTTAATACTTTTCTTTGCAACATAAAATTGCAATAAAGTAATTTGAAGCACAGACTCTGCACAGGGTCTTTATACACTTCAAAAGCTGCACCTGTGTCGAAACCTCTGGAAAACCCATGTGCCTGTGGGGTTTTTTTTTTTTAAACCGGGTAAAACTTTAACGTTACACGGCATGATTTAGTAACTCCGCAGAAATTGTGACGTGGCCCTTGAGAGGATAATTTTGATCATAACTGCAGTTTATACATGGTCGCAGTGGAATCTCTTACCCTTTATTAAATGCCCATAAATGTTATGCTCTCTTAATACGTCAACCTTCATTTGTCCCCGGTAACTGAACAGCGGCGTGGAAGCGCTCGCGCGCGTGCCCGCGGAATATTTCTGACAGCGTTTTGTGGATGTTAAGGGTGGAAAAAAAAATAATCATCATCATTCCTCTTTGACGCGTGGTGTCGTTTGCGGGTGTTGTTGGGGATAGTGTAGTGCAGGTGTTGGGCCTGGTTTGCGGACTGTCATCCGCCAACCACACTATTCCAGCCCGCGCAGTTGTCACGAAAAAAAATAAAAAACCTCTTTAAAGGTGATCGGGAGCCCTGCAGGACTTTTACTGCCTCGGGCAAGTGTCCGTAAAATGTCACACGGGTGGGCGCATGTGCGCTAGCAGAGCCAGACATGTGAAAATCATTTTGGGGCTCTTTGGGAAACAAGGCGGTATTGACACATTTACCAGCGGAACTGAAAATTGTGCGTTTATTACGACGGCGGATTTATGCCCCTTGGCTCGTCTACAAAGGCGCGCTCGCCTGCCTCTGTGGCGTTGGCCTCGCTCAGGTGGCAGGCCTTTCGCAAGAATGCCGTAAATATTGGGCCCCTGCTTAGACGATAAAGAGTGGAAACCCTCAAACTTTACAGCAGATGTGTTACATTTTAGAAACGATTACGGCTATCGGAGCTGTTTACTCATATTTTCACGCAAGCACGTTTCTAAATTTGTCTGGGCAAATGCTTGGGCCGTGTTCCTTCATAAATGGGCACATGCCTTCCCGCAGCACGCAACAGTGCCCGATACATGAACCCAGAAAACATCAGCAAACAAATTGGCAGGTACCTTCAGCTTGGGATGTAGTTTGCGCCGGGAATAGCGTAACTGACAATATCGTTGCCATTGCGACCGCCTGGGATAGATCTCCCCACGTCGTTCAGAGCTCGTGGTATGCGGAAGGCTCAAGTGTTGCTTTAACACTGAACAGGAGTGTGTGTGTTCTCTATGCTTGCGAAACGTGGACCCCCCCCCAATCGAACATCTTCGCCGGTTACAAACATTTAGGCTGGCCTGCCTACAATCCATCCTGGGTTTAACCAGGCTGGATTGTGTGAGGAGCTCACAGATCCTTAAAAGATCTGGGCAAGGTACCATCGGTGAGCTCCTCCGGCAGGCAAGGCTGCGTTGGCTGGGTCATGTAGCCCGCATGCCCAGCCACCGCATGCCTAAACAGATTTTGTTCGGCCGGATCGAGGGGGCTAAACGGGCGCGGCACGGGCTAGAGAAGAGATGGAGTGATGTGGTACAGGAGGACGTGGAGCTGAGTGGACTTGCCGATGACTGGTACCAGCGGTGTCAAGATCGGCCTCTGTGGAGGAGGCTCGTGAAGGATGCTACTGGGCAGTTAGAGGCAGTCGCCCTCCAACAACAACGGAGGGCGGAGGAGCGACGCTCACAACAACGAGCGGAGTGCCGGGTGGCTAAAGCACAGCAAGTTGGCACAGTAGGGGGCACAGGTGGTGCATCAGCCAGTTGTCTCAGTCAGTCGACCCGTGGCACCTGGGTCTGCCCCGTGACCTCCTGCCAGCGGGCTTTCGACACT